TAAAACATCTGCGTTTCTCATTGATCAACAGCCCTGGATGTTAGTGCTGGATGAAAAAATCCATATTGGAGCTTTTTCTCTTTCGGCACAAAGCGAAATCACTGTTAGTAGCTCGAACCATGACCTCTGACCTCTTTTGTGTAAAGTGCAAACTCATAACCACCAACACCTCTTGTATAAAGCTGATATTTTATATTTTATTACTTATTTTTCTATTATATTTGGACTTGTACATTTACATTTATATAATTATGTCTCATTTAACACCTCTCTGTTGCTCTTTTTTGCTGCTTATTTAGAATTTATTATTACTAAGAGTGTAACGGTGCAAAAAAAAAAAACAGTTCAGTACATATCTTGGTTTTGAGGTCACGGTTCAGTTCATGTTCAGTACAGTATGGGAACAGAATGCAAAACCATTTTCTTGTTCTTTATTCGTGTTTTTATTAAATCACTGGTTTGTTTTAACATTGCATTTATTTTATTTTCCCGTTTGTACAAAGTGCTGCTTGGTAAGACTAATAAGTTAAATCAGGTATTCTCAAATAAGGAACAAATGTATGAGATATAAGAAAAAATGAATTCCTTGTAAACAGTAAACAAAACTTTTCAAGAAGTAAAGCGCAGCACTAACAGTTCCAGCATGAAGTTTTACTCAGTCTTCAGATTTTTGGCCAGAAAAAACGATTTGTCCACATTAAGTGCAGATCTGCTGCAGTTACAACATCCCCAGTGGTTAAAAATACACTTTCAATAGGCGAATTTCACTGTTGACAAAAGCGCGCGTTGCATGCTGGGAATAATTTTGGTCGGCGGCAATAAACACTAATTCAACATGACGGACGGAGCGAGAAAGCACGTAAAGGGTATTGATCCCGGTTATTTATCCACTCTAACGGCAGAGGACCCAAGACCATTTGACCAGAAATTGGTCATAAGCATCGACAGACGCCAAATCACCCTTTTCAACCCCGACAAAAGATGGACCAAACCACATTTCTGGTCAGAATCGCCAACTACATGGACAAACATTCACTTGGGCGATATCCACAATGACTTGGTGGAAACTCCTGGGCCATTCACAGCAGAAAAGATGAAAACCTCCAAGAGTCTCGATGTGTTGTTGAACTTGTTGGAGTCCACGGTTTGTTAGGATCTTCTACGTTTGCTCTGCGAATGTTTGAAAGTTGTTTAATTCACCGTTAGCCGTTCTTTTACTCAGAATATGAAAAAGACATTTTGCTTCTTCCGTGCTTCTATTTGTGCATCCGATAATGCAGCAGAATTTTACCATTATCGGGGATAAATACATGAGGTTACACACTGTGTTTGACCACTATTGTGTTTCTTGCCTCTGACCAAAATATTTCCCAGCATGCAACGCGGGCTTTTAATAACAATGACGTCAGCTGAAACTCGCCTATAGGGACAGAGATCACAGGTTTGGGGGGGAGTTAGTCAGGCTGGTGCCGCCTAGTGCCTCCGCTCAATTTCATTTCTCTCCAGCGACTACGTCAGGAATCGGAATACACTAGACGTTTCGCAAAAACCCCAGAAGTGCAAGTTCGGGCACCAGCCAGTCAGAAGAACCATACATTCTGTGTTGGCAACGATTCCTGAGATCGAGGATTTAAAGTCGGAACAAAGAGAATGTTTGGTGAATTTTATCAAGGGGAAAAATGTTATTGTCCTTCTTCCTACGGGATTTGGGAAAAGCTTATTACCAGTTATGCCCCGTTAGTGGCGCATTACATACGTCATGACCAAACACCACCGATTGGTTAAATGAAAGAAAGTACCCACCTACTGTCGAGTGAACAAATTCTAAGAAGCCATGGAAATGGTCGACTCTTATAAGTACTTGGGAACTGTGTTTGATTCCTCTCTAAGGTTCGATAAGAACACTGAGCACATCGTCAAACGAGGACAGCAGCGGGTTCACTTGATGCAGAGGCTCAGCTCTTTTAATGTATCGTCTAATATTTTTTTTAAAAATTATCATTCTTTTATTGAAAGTTTGCTGACCTTTTCTTTTATCTGTTGGTTTTATGGATTATCTGTGAAAGACAAGAACAGTCTGAACCAGATTGTAAAAGTTTGCAGCAAAATCAGTGGTGTTCAGATGGAGGATTTGGCCTCTGTGTGGAGACATCGGGTGTTACAAAGGACTAAGGCCATATTGAGCCAGCCTCGCCATGTGCTGCGCTCACAGTTCGTGAAGATGCCCTCCGGGAGGCGCTATGTCACCCTACAGCAAAGGACTAACCGCTACGCCAAATCTTTTATTCCTTCTGCCATAAGGATTTTAAACAGAAAGTGAATTTGTTGCTGTGTGGTTCGAACGTCTAGTGTCTGTCTTTCTTTCTGTTTATTATTTATATTTATATATTGTGCATGACCAGAGATGTGCAAACTGAATTGCCCTTTGGGATTAATAAAGTTGTTGATTGATTGATTGATTGATAACACTGCGAGGTCAGACGGTTTCTACGAAGTGAAACGAAGTAAAACTGGCTGCTGAATCGGGCTGGGGGGGAGCAGCGGAGATTCCGTGGCGGCGAAAGACGAAACTGAGGCCCAAGATCAGAAGATCAGATACAGGTCACACAGGGGCCAAAAAATCTGATTTGGGTCACTTCAGGCTGCAGTCTGAACGTAACCTAAGTCTAAAAAAATCACAAACTTGTAGAGAACCGTCATGTGAGTCACTATTTGACACTGTGGGGTATGAACTGATTGGTTGTGGTCCACCCTGCTTCAATTTTCCCCAAAACTCCATGTGTGAGTTAGACTTTTCAGAATCATCCAAGACGCCATTGCTCTCAAATCTTCCATCTTCCCCTACCCCCCATGCCCACTGTTCTGTGCTTATTTCACTCCGCTTCTCTTCTTCTGTTTTGTTAGTGTCGCGCAGCCATTTTGAGTTAAATGAATAAAATATGTGCTGCTCTTATCTGTACACGGGGCTGTCAGTCTGCAGGTCTGCCGTCATTTTAGATCAATATTGTGATTTAACGTGTCCAAAACAAATGAAACAATGATCAATGGCTGTCAGAGATTATAACGTTATAGCAGACACAAGCACAATTGGTCTTCTTTAAAAAGGAAGAAAACACTACATCAGTATTTTTTTATTTCTACTAAACTAAAAGATGATGTTTTAGCGTTGTCATAGCTCTTTCTCCTGTTCTTTTTTGACAAATTTAGTGCAAACTAGACAGATTTAAGATAGATTTATTCAGATTTTTTCGTGAAATCTGATTTTTGTGCAAGGTCGTTCACATTTCTAATTAATTACGACTTGTATGTGATCTCCAGTGTGAACATTAAATGCCCCAAAAGTGTCCCGCGTGTGCACTGGAGCACACGACGACGTCACAGGTGGCGATTTTAAAGTTGGTGTCGTACCGGAGCCAGAACATGTACAGCTTATTTGTTTTAAGGAGGCGATTGAGAAGGAGAAGGACGAGGTTTTTGGAGTGTTGGGATTGATATTGATATTCCGAGATGTGTGTACAATCCCTCAGTCGTCCATGGAGAATCCTAGCCTTCATCACCCGGTTTCACTTTGTGGAAACCATCTGACCTTGCAGTATTAGGATTCGTTCGCTCCATGGTAGACGGGTACTTTTTTATTTAACCAATCGCTGCTATTTGGTCGTGATGTATGTAGGAAGAAGGGCAATAAGGTCTTCCCCTTGATAAAATTCACCAAACATTCTCTTTAACATTCTGGCTTTAAATCCTCGATCTCGGGAATCGTTGCCAACACAGAATGTCTGTCTTCATCTACATCCATCTCGACGCTTTGTTTACTGTTGTGCTGTTCCACAAAAGGGACCCAGACAGACGCTGAGTTTGACGTCGTGGCTTCACAACTCTTCTCTGATTGGCCGGTGCGCGGTTTATAACTTCCAGGGTTCTTGCAAACCGTCTAGTCTATTCTGATTTCTGATCTTGTCGCGGGAGAGAAATGAAACTGAGCAGAGGCACTAGGTGGTGCCAACCTGGTTAGTAGAATCCATGGCAAAAGAAGAAATTACATTTGTCAACTGGACAAAAGCTAACAAACAGAAACTGTAAACAAGTAGGGTGTTAGTTTTAGAGTAGTTTCAGTGTAGTTAGAGACAGATATAAGGCATTGTCAACCAGCGTCTGACTGGATGAGCTGCGAAAAGTATTCAATCAAATAAACTTTAGTCCAGCTGATAAATTGAATTTCTTCTTTTGCCATTGCTGTTCCTACTTCAGAGCAGAATAGTGAGGTTTGTCGCTTTTCAATGATATGTAGGTGGGATGAATGTGACCTGGCCGTTCAAACTGAAGTCGCATGTCAAAAGATCAGATTAGTATCGGTTTTAGGAGCACATATCCAAGTGTCCTGTGTCGCATTTGAAAAAATCAGATCTGTGTCGTTCAGACTGTCATTAAAAGATCAGATACAGGTCACATAGGGGCGAAAAAGATTGGATTTTGGTCACTTCAGGCTGCAGTCTGAACGTGGCCTTAGTTTGTGCTGCCTCCAGTGGCCTCTGCAATTTCAAGTACTATGTGACATCACACAGGACTGCTCTGATCACAAGCAAGTGTCTGAAGTGTGGATAACTGTTAGACCAATCACACTCTCCTCACTCTCCCCTTTAATTCTCCAGGTACTGCCCAGTTTAGCAGCTGTTTTAAATGTATTTGCGGGTTGTGTTTAGTTTTCGAGTTCACTTTACGTCCGTGTAGTCTAACCTTCTTGTGTGTGTCCTTTTACAGCTGCAGTCGGATCAGGACCGAGGGGCGACGGGGCGGTGAAGTACGTACTCTCCGGTGAGGGGGCCGGCTCCATCTTCGTGCTGGACGAGAACAACGGAGACCTGCACGCCACGCGCCGCCTGGACCGCGAGGAGAAGGCCTTCTACGTCCTCCGGGCCACCGTCGTCAACAAACGCACGGGCCTCAAGCTCGAGCCGGAGACCGAGTTTGTGATTAAACTGCACGACATCAACGACAACGAGCCCACCTTCAGCAAAGAGGTGTATACAGGAAGTGTTCCGGAGAGGAGCGAGATCGGTACGAGGATATATCACCAAACTTTATAGAACTAACCACGTTTTATATGAGAAAGAAGTGTATGTAGTGAGTGTGCAGGAGATGAGCGAGATAGGTATGAAAATATATTACCAAACTTTACATAACTAAAGATTAGGGTTGGGCGGTAATACAGTATTACGGTATCCTGCAGTATCATTACCCTCACTTAAAAAATCTGCAGCGCATAAGGACCTGATATAATATTAGAATTTATTGATATCTAAATTTGTTTGCTCAGCACAAATGAATGTGTGGTTTTATTTTCAATTTAATGCTGTCATGATTTAAAACTAACAGTGTCTATAATGTTTCTTTTAACTCTGTGGGGAGATGACGTTCGATTAGTTTCGTTCCGCTGTCACGCGACGCTCTTAAGGGAGAACAAGACGAGAAGGCAAGTCCGACTGCAAGCGAGTTGGTCCCCAAAAAAAAAAAAATAAATAAAATACTAGTACTTCTGCTGCAATTCGGCGCAGCATTTTAGCTTCAGACGCACATTTGTTTACATTTTACAGAAACGAAACTTAAAACCACATGGCTCATTTGCATAAACTATAAAGCGTTGATAAAAAAAAAAAAACAGCTCGCTCTTTAGTCAGCTTCAGTGGGACTAAAGGACACGACTCAGTGGAATATGAGTGTTCTTTCTGTGACAGAGGGGTGTTCTGCTGATGGTGAGTCTGTTCTGTGCTTCTATCGAGCTGGAGATGATTCATGTGAAACTTTTCAGAGATTATAAGTCTGCAGGTCATACGCATAGACCGTACAGTGGTTCAGCTTCGTAGTTTACCAAAGTCGTACTAAAACATTTTGGGAATACTGTAATACTGTATACTCCGGTAAAATTCTGAGACGGTTTAACCATATCAAAATTTGGATACCGTCCAACCCTACTAACTATATGCTTTTATATGAGAAAGAAATCTATATAAGCAGTGTTTGCTGGAGAGGAGCAAATATATAACCAAATTTTATATAACTAACCATGTGTTTTTATATAAGATAAAGGTGTGTACAGGAAGTGTTCCTGAGAGGAGTGAGATAGGTACGAGGATATATATCTTAATGCATTTATTTTGGGCAAGTAAAGATTTACATTTATATACAATGGAACATATGACATAAGTGAAATCATAATAGAAATGAAAATAACAACAACTACTAATAACTATTATTATTACTATTTCGCCCAAAAAGGAGTGGGAAGAAGAAAACTTATTTAATCCCACCCCTACTCTTCATAATCTAACACAATGATATTATTTTGCGTTTTTCAGACATTTTGAATTAAACTATATGAACTATTTACAAGTGCAGACAAGAGTCACTGTTAGAGCTTGGTAGTATAACATAAGTGCACCAACAATGGTAAAGTTAAGGAAGCTTTAACTAACCATATACATTTAGATTTTTTATTTTTTTTTATATATATGTATATTTTTATACAAGCAGTGTGCTGGAGAGGAGCAGGAAGGAAATATAACCAACTTTTATATAACTAATCAGGTTTTACATAAGAAAGAGGTGTATACAGGAAGTGTTCCAGAGAGGAGCAAGATCGGTACGAGAATATATAACCAAAATTTATATAACTAACCATATACATATATATTTAAAAAATACATCCAAACTGTGTGCCAGAGAAGAGCAAGAAGAGAAGAAAATATAACCAAGTTTTATATAACTAACTAAGTTTTATATATATGTAAAAAAAAGAGGTGTATACAAGAAGTGTTCCGGAGAGGAGTGAGATAGGTACAAGAATATATTACCAAAATTTTATATAACCAACCATTTATGTTTATGTAAGAAAAATCTATACAAGCAGTGTGCCGGAGAAGAGCAAGAAGAAAATATAACCAACCAAGTTTTATATAAGAGAGAGGTGTGTGTGTGTGTGTGTGTGTAAGTGTGCCAGAGAGGAGAAAGATCGGTACAAGAATATATAACCAAATTTTATATAACTAACCATAGATGTTTATATAGGAAAAAAATCTATACAATCAGCAAGATAGGTATGAGAATATATAACCAAACTTTAACTATCTATATACATTTATATATTTAAAAAAATCTATACAAGCTGCGTGCTAGAGAGGAGCAAGATAGGTACGATTTGAGAATATATAACCAAACCTCATATAACCAAAGTTTTATCAAATAAAATAAAATACAAGCAGCGTGCCAAAGTTTCAAATTGATATGTCTAGATGTAAGATTTTCAGTGTCTCACCTTAAGTCGTTTTAAATGAATATTGTGATTTAAAATGTCCAAATTATAACAACGTAATGATTTATAGATTATAACTATATAACAGACACAAGCATGGATTTTTATATTTGGTCAACTGCATTGTGAAACTGTGAAATCTAAATGGTCATAAGTCATAACCCTTTGCTTTTTAACACGGCCACACTTGAGTTCAGCACAGACTCTAGTTCGAGTTCAGAGTAACATTCATTATTCAGTTTTTTAACCAGTGCTGTGAGGGCGTACACGGGACTGCACTCAGCCCTCGCCCCCTCACCCCCTCACCCCCTCACCCTCTGACCTCTGTGTGGGCTCCCCAGGCACGTCGGTGATCCAGGTCACAGCCACAGACGCGGACGACAGCATGTACGGCAGCAGCGCCAAACTGGTGTACAGCATCAGCCAGGGACACCCGTACTTCTCCGTGGACCCCAACACCGGTAAGACTCGACTCGGACCTCATTTACACACAGAATCACAGTCTCACGAAACAGGAATCACGCCGGAACACTTAAAGATTCACTGGGGAACTTTTCTGCCACCGGTTTGCCTCGTGGAGATGTTGGAGTTTTTGATTTGTCGGTGACAGCGACATGACACTGGGGGGGAGGGGGGTGTTACATGTATCTCTATGGTGGAGTGTTCAGCTGCACTGGTGTAGTGGCACTTGTGGCCAGGACTAAATCAGGATTACGCCAGGATTAAAAACAGGACTAAACCAAGTCTAAACCAGGAGTAAACCAGTACTACACCAGGACTACAACTAGGTCTAAGCCAGGACTAAAACAGGACTAAAACAGGACTAAACCAGGACTACACCAGGACTACACTAGGTCTAAGCCAGGACTAAACCAGGACTAAAACAGGTCTAAACCAGGACTACACCAGGAGTAAACCAGGTCTAAAACAATATGAAACCAGGGCTAAAACAGGTCTAAACCAGGACTACACCAGGACTACACTAGGTCTAAGCCAGGACTAAACCAGGACTAAACCAGGGCTAAAACAGGTCTAAACCAGGACTACACCAGGAGTAAACCAGGTCTAAAACAGGACTGAACCAGGACTAAACCAGAACTGAATCAGGACTACATCAGGACTAAACCAGGAGTAAACCAGGTCTAAAACAATATGAAACCAGGGCTAAAACAGGACTACACCAGGATTAAAACCAGGACTAAACAGGACTAAAACAGGTCTAAACCAGGACTACACCAGGAGTAAACCAGGTCTAAAACAGTATTAAACCAGGACTAAAACAGGACTGAACAAGGACTAAACCAAGACTAAACCAGGACTACACCAGGATTAAAACCAGGACTACACCAGGACTAAACCAGGACTAAAAGAGGACTAAACCAGGTTTACACCTGGAGTAAACCAGGTCTAACATTTCCATGGAGAGACAAGCATGTATTTTCTCCTTGCCCCTCCCTCCTGTCGCCTGTCAATCAATCACAGCCTGTCTCTAAACCTCACAAGTCATTCATATAAATACACTTTTTGTCCCCCTTTTTCTTTGTCTATCCCACCTCCCCCGCAGCAGCGTCACCACCAGCCTCCTCACCCTCTCAAATCCACCTGAATGTATTGAAAGCTCCTTCTGTCGTACCAAAGTACAGAATTCTCATCTGCCCGTGCTTAGATCTGATGAAAACCAGACTGTCAATCAAATATAAAGTCAGACCGTGGAGAAATATTTTTAAGGAGAAAGAGGAACTGAAAAGAGCGGAGGCTGAACAGTCTTGTGTGAACAAATTACCCAAAAATACGTAAAACTTTTGGTGCTACTGTTTAACAAAATCTAAGAAAATTGCAAAATGAATAAAATTAAATCCAGAAGAGTCCGTCTATAAACAGTTTATTCACAACACAGACAGAAAGTTCGCCCCAAAGAGAACTAATAAAAAAGATATTTGAGTGAAGTTCCATGAATAATGTATGGAAAGAATATGAGTCGGAGCTAAGACGTCTTCAAATGAAAAATGTGATGGATTTATTAAAGAAAATGTCTCCTCCTGGGTCTTAACACTGTGACGGTGAAGAGGAGGAGATGGAGAGGATGAGGAGGGGATAGTTCTGCTGCTGAAATCAACTTTCTGGAGTTTTCTACTGCGTTATAATGCAGGGGTGTCCAAACTTTTTTCATCAATGGCCACATATCTAAACACAGACGAAGCAGAGGGCTGATCAAGGGCCGCAGACTGGTGCTCAAAATAATAATAATAATTAAATGATTAATTATTAAGTGAATAATTATGTGGGGAAGCTGGCCAAAGTGGTCGAAGTAGGAGGCAGATGACACAAAAAAAAAAGACAAAATTTATTTTAAAAAAAACAGACTTCTGGGTTTAACCAACAAAAATGCAAATAGACAAAAAATAAGTAACTCAAAGCAAAACACCAAATACCTGCACAGAAGTCTCCCCCTAATTAGTGACACCTGCTTGCCTTTTATACTCCGCCCAGGAGGAAGTACCTCCCCCAGGTGAGTAACAATTCCCGGTAAAGCAAAGCAAAAGGTGTCTTTCCAAAATCAAAATGGTTAACATAAATTAAGGTGAGTTTAAAATAAGACAAAGGCCCACTTTGTCACAAATTAAAATATGTGCATGTTTAACACGTTAGAATGAGCCATCAGATCCTTAAAACCACACAACAAATATTAAATATGAGCTTTATCAAGGTAGATTTAAAAAAAAAAAAACTTGCAGTAAGAAGTTAATTTTTAATTGATGCAAGATCATGTGGGCCAACTCACCTGGAAGCCTGAGGGCCAAGAAAAATTTGTCTGAGGGTCACATTTGGCCCACGGGCCATAGTTTGAACATGCCTGTTATAACGTCCATTTCCTGTTTCCATGACTTAAACTGCGATGCCGGACTTTTGCACCACATATGAACTGAACCAGGACCAAAACAGAACTAAACCAGGATTAATCAAGGATTAAACCAGGTTTAAACCATTACTTAAAACGGTCTCCATCAGTCTTAGTCCTGGTCTGGTCCCGGTCTCAGTTCTAATCACCCGACAGTCTACGCGGGCGCACCTCCTGGGTCAGTCATAGTTTAGGCTTGGTTTAGACCTGGTTTAGTCCTGGTTCAGTCCCGGATCAGTCCATAAGCGGCTCAAAAGTCTGGCAGTGCAGTTTAAGTCACGGAAACGAGAAACGGTCGTTATCCTTTTTTTCTATTATACATTTAAACACAAAATCGAAAACTTAAGAAGCAAATCATTATCTGATTTTTTCATGTTGGTTTCGGACACAAATAATGAATTTCGTTTTCTTATTTTTAGTTTTATTTTGAAAAACGAATGAACGAATGTATTGTAATGAAATATGATCGCATTCGTCAAGCGCCAGACCTCGATTCCGAGACGAGACCGAGACCAAGCGCCATGAAGACTGAGACAAGACCGAGTCCGAGACGAGACCAAGACCGTAAAAAAGTGATCTCGAGGCCGATGTCGAGATCACGACCGGTCTCAAGTACTACAACTACAATTACACTATGGCATTAAACCTTTCTATCTTCATGGAGACCAAACCAGACCAAGTTACAGGTCAGATCTGTGGAGAGGCGACCCCACTCACAGTCAAAATGCCTTTGTTTTTTTTGTTTTTCTTGGTATTTTTGAGCTATAAAACCACCCGTAATTGAATCATTTGTAAGGTAGAGCTGTTTAATGTCACACTGTGGAACATTTCCAGACGGAGCAATGACGTATCCATGGAAACAAGCAGGTGACGGACCCCTAACCACAAAGTCACATGGTGCACCTTTAAACTAATCTATCTGGGATTTATTTGATTGCGTCGATGAACGTTCTTTACTCTGAGTGCGCTCGCCTCTCCGCAGACCCGACCCGTAAACAGGCAAACCGGCTACCAGCGAAGTTACACAGTGGACCAAACGGTGTCAGAGTGAGCGCGTCGTTTGTGCCGTCAGCCTCGGACTCTATCGCTGTCTGTAATCTGTAATCCGCGTCGGTTTAATCCCGCGGTTAATGTCCACAGATGAGCAAAGCAGATTATCCAAACGGCTGAGTGCACCGGCTCCGCGCACATCCCCGTTTATTTACCTCTCGGACGATTTCTGCACTCCAGCGTCATTTTTTTGGTTGAGGGGCCCGTTAACCTGCTTGTTTCCATGGATACGGCATTGCTCGGCCTAGAACGTTGCACAGTGTGACGTTAAACAGGTCCACTTTACATTTATTTAATTACAGGTGGTTTTACGGCTAGAAAAACAGGAATTGTGACGTCGCCTCTCCACTGATCTGACCTGTAACTTGGGCTGGGTGTCATTAAGAAGTTGCCTATACGATACATACCTCGATACATAGGCCACGATACGATACATATCTCGATACAGTTCACTTTCAGTTCGATACGATATATTCCAAAGTGATTCGATAAGGTTCAGTAAAACATAATGGGTAAATGACGGCCGTGATACTGAAAGTTTTTGTTAAACCACTTCTTGTGCAAAGTTACAGGCCCATGTTTAATCACTGAAACTTTGAAAATGTCAAACGTGTTGCATAAAAAAGTTTCCTTCCTCTAAACAAGCAACAAAACTATAGCTCTGTAACCAAGGTTGTGCAGTTAATTTACTTTTGATCGCAATTTCAATTTGTGTGTCAAATGATCTCTAAACTCATATAATCAATTTGAAACAATTTTGCTTAACAAAGTTTATTTTGATTTTGATTTGGTTTAGATTTTTATTTTATTTTTTTATGTAAATAAGTATAGTTTTTTTTGTTTTTATTTTTTAATATAGAGATTGTAGAACAGTGAATAAAAGCAGTCAAAATGAGTTTCCTTCGCAGGGTGGCTGTGCGATCCCTTAGAGCACAGGTGTCAAACATAAGGCCCAGGGGCCAGATCCGGCCCTCCAAGACTTTTAATCTGGCCCTCAGCTGACTTTCTACTAAAATATTGTAATTATATTTTCGATTAAAATATTAGTAATTTTCTGTGGTGTTTATTACAGCAGCATCTCCAGCGTCTCTGTACGTGGCCCCTCCCACCAGAGCAGCACAAATGAAGACTTGTCTCTTTCCAAACGCTCTTAAAGGACGATCGTTTTGACTGTTGACCGTGACACCCTCATCAGAAAAATGTCCAAAATGAGAAAAGTGGAGCCGAGTGCAGGATTTTACAACAAAAATTTACTTATTCCTGTTTACATACAAGTTCATGTTAAAATATTGTGTTGAAATTACATTTTTCTTAAAGTTTCAGTTTGTTCATAATATTATAATATTTTGTAAAAGAAAGAGTTCATCAATTAAAAAAGATTTCTGTAATAGATTTGTGTTTCTCTGCACAAATATTTAAACTTATTGTTATTTTTGGGGTTTATATGCCATGAGTTTTCTGATCCGGCCCCTTTGAGATCAAAGTAGGTGGATACGGCCCCCGGAACAAAATGAGTTTGACACCCCTGGTTTAGAGACAGGGAGAGGAGCTCAGTCACACGGGAGGATCTCGGAGTAGAGCCGCTGCTCCTCCACGTCGAGAGGAGCCAGTTGAGGTGGCTCGGGCATCTGTTCCGGATGCTTCCTGGACGTCTCCCTTGGACCAATGATACGCTGGAGGGAACACCTCAGCTGCCACAACCGGAGGAGCTGGAGGAAGTGTGCACGGAAAAGGAAGTCTATGTATCCCTCCTTAGACTTCTGCTTCCGCGATCCAGCCCCGGATAAAGAGGAAGAAAATGGATGGAAGGATGGATAGTTGGACACATAGGATTCAGAAATGTCGTGTATTCATTTTGTTACAAATAAAAAAAAAATAAATAAATCCACTGCTGACTAGAATGACATGCTGCTGTCCGTAGGAGGGACCCACAGCATCCGCCGTTTTGTTGTGATGAAAACTTGCTTCGTTTGTCGTCGTTTTTGATCAATATTGCAATTTTAAAAAGTGTAAGTTATAACACAATAATCCACAGGGGGTCAGAGATTATTACTATAACAGACACAAGGACAATGTCTGTAAAGTAGCTCCCAGCGGGCACAGTGTTCAAGAACTAATGAAATCCTCCAGAGATGCTTCCTCCGCAGAAACGGCTCAGAGGAGAGGAGAGAAAAACTGGGCCATAAATATGAAATAATATAGTAATAATATGAATAAATACGAAGTACCAGAGCTGGACGGTGTTGGCGTTTGACCTCGTTTCCTCGTGTAAAGCGGCTGTGTGTTGTGTTTTGTTTTCAGGGGTGATCCGCACGGCGCTGGGGCCCGGCGACATGGACCGTGAGCAGAGGGAGCACTACCAGGTGGTGATCGAGGCTAAAGACATGGCCGGTCAGAGAGGAGGACTGACCGGGAGCACCATAGTCAACATCACCCTGACCGACGTGAACGACAACGCACCCAGCTTCACCCACAGTGAGTCTAGCACCCACCCAGCTCCACCCGCACGTACTTTTAAAAGCTTCAATTTACACCAGAGACGCAGAGCTGCTCCTGTGACTCCTGTGTTTTCTCACGTTTAAACACTAAACTTTTTACGTTGTTTATGTATTCATAGTTGAGTGGATGAATTATGTTTTAAATCACAAAACTACGTATGCCGAGAGGGGTCACAACAAACGCAAACGCCGCAACGAAATACAAATGCGACAACACGACAAAAAGCCACAACACACCAAAAAAAGCCACAACGGAAATGACCGAAGGACTCTATTTTAATGCAAAAAATACAAAAGCCACAACACAAACGCAGATGCCGCAACACATCAAAAAGCCACAACACATCAAAAAGCCACAACACATCAAAAAGCCACAACACATCAAAAAGCCACATCAAAAAGTCACAATACATTAAAAAGCCACAACACAACAAAAAGCCACAACAAACAAAAAGCCACACATCAAAAACCACAACACATCAAAAAGCACACACAACACATTAAAAGCAAAGCACAAATAAAAAGCCACAACACAAAAACACAACACATCAAAAAGCCACACACATCAAAAACCACACAAAAAGTCACAACACATCAAAAAGCCACAACACATCAAAAAACCAAACACATCAAAAAGCCACAACACATCAAAAAGTCACAAACACATCAAAAAGCCACAACACATTAAAAAGCCACAACACATCAAAAAGCCACAACACATTAAAAAGCCACAACACAACAAAAAGCCACAACACATCAAAAAGCCACAACACATCAAAAAGCCACAACACATCAAAAAGCCACAACGGAAGTGACCGCGGGACTCTATTTTCGACGGACCGATCAAGCGGCAAGTGAAGAAGAAGAACTACAACGAATGAAACGAATAATGATAAAAAAATTAATTACTTTTACGTATGTTTCCAACTTCTCCGTTCCTTTACTTTTCACGTTGTAGTTCTTCTTCTTCACTTGCCGCTTGATCGGTCCGTCGGAAAATAGAGTCCCGCGGTCACTTCCGTTGTGGCTTTGTTTGTGTGCGTTTTTTGTTGCGTTTGTTTGTTGTTGTGCTTTTTTGTCTTTTTGTCGTTGTTGCATTTGTATTTGTTGCGGCGTTTGCGTTTGTTGTGACCCCTCTCGGCCTCCGTACAAAACAATAGTTGACAACAAGAGACGAAGTTTTGCAGCGATAACGATATTTGCGGTGCATTAATTAAGCTACTCACCATTTCACTTTGGTCGTCTGTACCACGCGCCTTTTCCTTCATAAGTTGTTTCGTATTTATCCTCCGCGGCTGTAAACTTTCCGTAGTCCATCATGAGTCATTCCCTGAGCTCCTGGATGTGACGCACGGTGTTTACGTAGTGGTTTTAGAGAACGTATTTTATAGAGAAAAATCCCGCACACCGTCTTTTTCTTCTTTCATACACTCAACTTGACATGCCAAAATACACACAGGTGTCATATAGATTTTTAGTTTATTTTAAAGTAATATTTGAACCAGGAGGACTAAACCAGGTCTAAACCAGGTCTAAACAAGGACTAAACCAGAAATAAACCAGAACTAAACCAGGTCTAAACCAGGACTAAACCAGGATTGACCAGGACTAAACCAGGTCTAAACCAGAAATAAACCATTACTAAATCAGGTCTAAACTAGGACTAAACCAGGACTAAACCAGGTCTAAACTAGGACTAAACCAGAAATAAACCAGGACTAAATCAGGACTAAACCAGGTCTAAACCAGGACTAAACCAGGACTAAACCAGGTTCTAAACCAGGACTAAACCAGGATTGACCAGGATTAAACCAGGTCTAAATCAGGACTAAACCAGAAATAAACCAGGTCTAAACCAGGTCTAAACCAGGACTAAACCAGGTCTAAACCAGGCCAAACCAGGTCTAAACTAGGACTAAACCAGAAATAAACCAAGACTAAACCAGGTCTAAACCAGGTCTAAACCAGGACTAAACCAGGTCTAAACCAGGTCTAAACCAGGACTAAACCAGGTCTAAACCAGGTCTAAACTAGGACTAAACCAGAAATAAACCAGGACTAAACCAGGCCTAAACCAGGACTAAACCAGGACTAATCTTGAACTTGAGAGCGAGAGGGAGAACCCCAAACCTGTGGAGAAGGATGTTTTCAAAGCGCGATCGGGCAATGGCTGTGTTTACCCCTTTGAGGCACGAAGCTCTACGCTGGTCCTTTCACCCGCGGTCACCCGACAGTCTACACGGGCGCACCTCCGGGCTTGTCCAGACACTCAGTCCTGATTTAGACCTGGTTTAGACCTGTTTTAGTCCTGTTTTTGTCCTGGTCCCTCATGGATCAGGTCACTGTAGGACATTCCTGCAGATATCATGAGCTTGTGCAGTTTTGTTTTCATCATTGCCAGTAGCTCGGGTTTGACATTGAAGTTGCAGCTATTTTATATTTATTATTTTTGTTATTTTTTCACGTCGGGAGAAGTGGGTGACTGCCTACACCCCTGCGTTTCCCCGACATCGCAGCACTTCCAGCCGTTGTGAAAAAGATCTACTGAGGAACATTTTATACAAAGCTATAACAGCGCCATGAAAACAAGCAAGCGACGTATCCTCCACTGAAAAAGTTCTGAAGTGTGGCTTTTAATAACTCAGAACTTTATGGCTGACATTGAAAAGCTGAACTTCTCGCAGCGACTCTTACTCTCTTAGTTCTTACATCAGATGCCCTTCCACACCGACCTCGTCCCTGCGTCCGTTCGTCGTTATGAAGTTGTCCATCATAAACGTCGAGTTCGTGACCTGGGTGACTTAAGGAAAATCCATTTTGGAGCTTAAGTGAGGCGGGTAGTTTTAATTCTCGCAAAGCCTCTTAATGAGTTCAGCCTAATGAAACGTTCATCAGCAGAACAGTGTAAACGCAGAGCAGACCTCCGCCGGGGTCAGGGGGAAGGGGATTTTCAAAAACCCTTTAAAAGTATTTTACTAAAGACGCTCTACCTGATTTTACTCTCGCGAAAAAACACTAGAAAAACAGAACTAACTCAGATTTTCCTCACTTTTATTCCTCGCTTTCCTTATGGATTTTGAGCGTCCTGTAGTTTACAGTTTTTCAGAGTTTTGAACAACAACTAGCAAGCTAACACGCACTTCCTGATAGGTGCAGGTAGTACGCAAGGGACTTACTTGGACCTCACGATGATCTGCTTATACAATATATCTGGACTGGGGCACTGCTGAACTTTTCTGGTCAAGAGTCCACTGTTGCTCGTCTCCGTGGCGATGTTATTGCTTTGCCTGAGATGTTCCGCAGTACGGCATTAAACGAATATATGTTGTGTTTGTTTTATTTCTCAAAACGACCGCAGACTCCACAGATCTGAGCTGTAACTTGGCCATACTGTAGAACATTTCATGAAAAAATGACACAGGCTCTAGCAAAAAAGTTACACAATGCACCTTTAATATATATATATTTTTTTTCAAATTAAAATGGTGTCTCAAAAATTTGACATTTTGCAGGTCAATAATTTAGGCATTTTTTTGTTGAAATAATCTCAAATTTTGCATGTCATTTTGCGTCTTGGAACCCAGAATTTGTGTGTCATTTGTTCATTCGTTTTTCAAAATAAAACCAAAACGAAAAAACAACTATTTTCTTCATTATTTATCTCCAAAACCAAAATGAAAAAACAGATAATGATTAAATTTTTCACTTTTCGATTTTGTGTTTAAATGAAGAATGGAAAAAGCAGATTACCGTTTCCGTGACTTAAACTGCGATGCCGGACTGATCCCAGGACTGAACCAGGACTAAAACAGGACTAAACCAGGACTGAGTGTTGGGACCCCTAACCCTAACCCCACGGGTGATCAGGACTGAGACCAGGACCAGACCGGAACCAGGCCTAGAACTGAGTCCGAGGCTGAGACTGGGACTGAGACCAGGACTGAGACCGGGACTGAGACCAGGACTGATACTGTGATCAGGACCAGGACTGAGACCGAGGCTGAGACCGGGTCTGAGACCAGGACTGAGCCCAGGACTGAGACCAAGACTGAGCCCGGGACTGAGACCGAGACTGAGCCCAGGACTGTGACCGGGCCATAGACCATGACTGAGACTGGGATCAGGACCAGGACTGTGACTGGGACTGAGACCAGGACTGATTTTTCATTTAAACACAAAATCAAAAAATGAAAAAAACGAATCATTATCTGTTTTTAACAGATACAAAACACAAATAATGAAGAAAAATGTTGTTTTTTCATGTTCTTATTTTTGGTTTTATTTTGAAAAAAGAATGAACGAACCTTAGAACAGGACAAAAAATATAATAAATAAATAAATAAAATATACAATAAATAATAAATAATATAATAAATAATTTAAATAATATAATAATATATAAATAATATAATAAAAATAAAATAAAATAAAATAAACTACTTTGACATATATGTTAGACCAGATGTTGACAGCTCCTCGAGGAAGGAGAAGAAGAAAAGGGAAGAAACGCCCATTTATGTTCCGCAGACTGACTGTAACGTGGTCAGGTTTGGTCTCCATGAGGACAGAAAGCTTTAATGCCGCACTGTGAAACATTCCTGACGAAACAACAGCACCTTTCGACGTTCTGTCCGCCAGAAAAGTTACGCAGCGCACGTTCACATCTGGCCGGAGTCCGTTTTGCGTCACAGAAGCGCGGAGAGTTCAGCGTGGGCCGTGGTGTTTACCGTGGCGAGGATTACGAGGAGAATAATAACCGTATATTGTGATAGATTTCCGTGGAAACAGAGTGTGCCGGAGCTGATAATGTGAAAACCAACAAAAGGATTTAGTCGTTAAACAGATGCTGCAGGATCGGCGGCACACTGCAGTCCCGCTGAGTCATGAGCGATCCACAACAAACTCTCCGCACTCTGACGCTGAAAAAGTACAGCAAAGTTCCCCCTCCTCCCCTCATCTTCTTCTCCTTTATCTCCCTCGTTTCTGTCGCTCTTTTCTTCCGTCTCATCTCCATTTCTGTGTCTCTGCTCCTCTACAGCTTCACTTTCTTTCGTCTTTCCTTCTCCTGTCTCTCCTCGTCTTTCTCGATTTTCTCTTTTTCACTTCCTTCCTTTTCTTTCTTTTCCTTCTCTTCTGTCTCATCGCGTTCTTTCCCTCCACTCGGTTTTATCTTCGGTCTTTCTCCCTCCCTCGTCTCACTTTCTTCCTCCTCCATCACTTATCCCTCTCTTCTTTTCCTCTCCTCTCCCCCGTTTCCTCTTTCCTTTCTCTCACTTCTCTTTCTTTTACCTTCGCTTTCTTCCCTCTCCGTTCCTCCCCTCTGTCTCTCTCCCGTCTCTCTTCCTTTCCTCCCCTCTTTTCCTCCTTTCATTCTCTCCCCACTCCTCTCTTTCCTTTCTCCTTTCTAGCCCGCCTTTTATCTATCTTCCCCTTTTGGCTCTCCCTCTCACCTCTTACCTCTTTCTCCTCTAACCCCCTCCTTTTTCTTTTTCAATCTCTCTCCTCCTGTTTTCCTCCTCACTGTCCCTCCTTTCATCCCTCCTTCCCTCCCCTCTTTTTCTCCTTTCATTCTCTCTTCCACTCCTCTCTTTCCTTTCTCCTTTCTGCACTTTTCTCTTCCATCCCCCATTTATCTTTCTTCCCCTTTCTCACCTCTTTCTCCTCTACCCCCCTCTTTCTCTCTCTCTGTACTCCCTCTTCTTTCTCTTTTGCTCTCTCCTCCTCTTTTCCTCCTCTCTATCCCTTTCGCTTTCCTCTCCCCATCTCTCTTTCTTTCTGTCACTCCTTCCTTTCGCTTTCCTCTATTTCTCCTCTTTCTTCCCTCTCCGTTCCTCCCCTCTGTCCTCTCATCCCTCTATCCTCCTCCTGTCTTTCTTCCTTTCCTCTCTATCCCGTATGTCTCTCTATCTCTCTCTTCTTTCCCTGTCCTCCTCCTCTCTTTCCTTTCTCCCCCCCTCTTATCTTTCTTCTCCTTTTGTCTCGCCCTGTTACCTCTATCTTCTCTCTCTCCCACTCTTCCTTCTCTCCTCTCTACCCCTTCCTTCCTCTCTCTCTTTACTCCCTCTTCTCTCTCTTCTCTCCTCTTTTCCTCCTCTCCATACCTCTCGCTCTCCTATCCCCGTGTCTCTTTCTTTGCATCAGTAAATATTCACGTCCACACGACAACGGAGCACTGAGTGAAAACGATGTAATACACCTGCCACACCTGTATGTGGCGCTGTAAACAATGATAATAACATTTAATAATGCAAATCTCATCATTGTTCTTTTGTTGTTGTTTTTTTACTTTAAGGTAATTTAAACTATTTTAGATTCATCCCAGAAATGTATCTGTTTTGTTAAACATAAGTTTTTGTTTTTAGCCATAAGATTTGGATGAGAATTATTAGAATAACTTGGTCTGAAAATCCAACAGTTTAATTACTTGTGCATAATCTTTGTTATTGATCCATGTGTGTAATCTGCGGTGCGTGTTGTTAGTATTAGGCTGCGTTCAGACTGCAGCCTGAAGTGACCCAAATCCGATTTTTTGGCGTTCTATGTGACCTGTATCCGATCTTTTAACGACAGTCTGAACGGCACAGATCAGAATTTTTCAAATGCGACTCAGGCCACTTGGATATGTGCTCCTGAAACCGATACATATCCGATCTTTTGACATGCGACTTCAGTCTGAACGGCCAAAGCGCATCCATCCGACCTACACGTTATCAACAAGCGACAAACGTCACTATTCTGCGCTGAAGCAGGCGGAAACCGGAACTGTAAACTCGCCAGGTGCTCAATGCTCGCGACCATATTTGGACAACTTCCGTAAACACAGAGCACGCTCGCTGCGGTTGACGCATGGGGTTGACGTCGTCGTGTCTCCAGTGCACATGCGGGAGACTTTCGGGCCGTTTACCGTTCACACTGAAGTCACAGACAAGTCGCATTTAATTGGAAATGTGAACGACCTCGCAAAAACATCGGATTTCACAAAAAAATCGGAATTGAGCGTTAAGCCCTGCAGTCTGAACGTAGCCTTAGAGTTAGAAGTGTGTCTCGGTTGCTGGGCGACAGGAGCGGCTCCGTGGGCTACACCTGTACCAACGCTCTGCTCGGTCTGTGGAGGCGTTCTCAAAAAATACAGTTTTCGCCACCACCCAAAACGTCGGCTCTGTGTGGACGAAAGACCAATACGAAAACAAACTTCACTGTTTCGACTAGGGATGGGCATGATTAGTCGATAAATCGATAATTGATCATTAAGAATTTCATCGATTACGTTAATTTTAATCGACAAACTGAATGTAGGTTGCTGTGTGTAGCGTGACCAAACAGAAGGAACGAGACACAAGCACAAACGGTGGGTCAGTCTGCAACGTACCGAAGCACAAATGTGTATTTAACGATGATTTGTACAAGAAATTCCAGACTTTCCGTTGCGTTCGGGACAAGTGTGAGTCCATGTGCACAGTGAACAAAGCAGCACATATGTTTCTGTGTCCAGTGTGAAAAGTTTTACCAGGTGAGAGTCGCTCGATGTTGATGACGAGTCCCCGCCTCCCTCCCCCCGTACAGTGTCCTGGTTTTGACAAACGTAAATCTGGTCACACTAACCTGTATTCACCTGAGTCGTGTCTTTTAATCCGACAGAAATTGAACCGCATCAGTGACACAAGAGCTGTAGTTTTATCTTCGCTTAGTTTATGCAAATTAGCGATGCGGTTTTAAGTTTCGTTTCTGTGAGAGTTGCACAAAACTGAATTAAACACATTATAATGTCAAACGGGCTGATGTGGCTCTAGAGTCGTTACGGTTTATATGTCGTAAAGTTGAATTTATTTATGCAGATCAGTAGTGCAGATAGTAATAATAATGATGATCATTTTAATATAAAAACGTTAATGATTAATTGATAATCGATCGTTAATTCTTCCGACGATCGATTAAGAAAATTTAATCGAATGCCCGTCCCGAGTTTCGACCAAAAAACGTTGTCGTGTGAACAGACGCTAAGTCACAGGAAACGGGAAACAGCAGTTTTTTTTTCCATTATTCATTTAAACACAAAATTAAAAACTGAAAAACTAATCATCGTTTTTTCATTTTGGATTTTTTGTTTTCTTATTTTTGGTTTTATTTTGAAAAACGAATGAACGAATGATACACGGATTCCAAGCGTCTGCAGGAACAACTCCAAAAACCCCAGTGTGGAAATAAAAAGTGATTGATAACATCTTTTTCTCTTTCTTTCTTTCTTTCTTTCTTTGTGTGTTCAGGTATCTACCAGTTCCGCGTTCCAGAGTCGTTTAAACACGGCTCTCCCGTTGGGCGAGTCCGGGCCACGGACAGAGACATCGGGCAGAACGCCGAGATGTTCTTCACCATCGTGAGCGGAGACGGCATGGACGTGTTCCACATCTCCACCGACAAGCAGAGCCAGGAGGGAGTCATCACCGTCAACAAGGTCAGACACCATCACGAAACCAAGAGCCGAGACGACGAGAAGAGAACGACGTTTTTATCTGAAGTCACGTCTGTGGGTCTTTACACCTCAGATCAGAAACACGTGACCACAGACCGTGTTTCATTAAAGCTGATAATTAGACTTAGTTCATCAGAAAACACAATGAGCCTCACGTGACGTTTTGGGCTCCAGTTTCAAAGTCAAAACTGTAATTTATTTATGACTTGTTTCTGTCATTTCAAAGTAATTTGTTATATTATAATATTACTGCGTTTAAAATGTAAAATATTACACGACTATTACAGTATTAAAGTGACTCTCAACAAAATAACTGTGAAGAGGCTGAACTTTTGCGCCGTGTATGGACTAAACCAGGACTAAACCAGGACTAAACAGGACTAAACAGGACTGAACCAGGTCTAAACCAGGACTAAACCAGGACTGAAACCAGGTCTAAACCAGGACTAAACCAGGACTAAAACCAGGACTAAACCAGGACTAAACCAGGTCTAAAACAGGACTAAACCAAGTCTAAACCAGGTCTAAACCAGGTCTAAAACAGGACTAAACCAAGTCTAAACCAGGTCTAAACCAGGTCTAAAACAGGACTAAACCAAGTCTAAACCAGGTCTAAACCAGGTCTAAACCAGGACTAAAACCAGGACTAAACCAGGTCTAAACCAGGACTAAACCAGGACTAAACCAAGTCTAAACCAGGTCTAAAACAGGACTGAAAACCAGGACTAAACAAGGACTAAACCAGGTCTAAACCAGGACTAAACCAGGACTAAACCAGGTCTAAACCAGATCTAAACCAGACTAAACAAGGACGAAACCAGGTCTAAACCAGGATTAAACCAGGTCTAAACTAGGTCTAAACCAGGACTGAACAGGACTAAACCAGGACTAAACCAGGTCTAAAGCCAGGACTAAAACTGGACTGAACCAGGTCTAAACCAGGTCTAAAAGGACTAAACCAGGACTAAACCAGGACTAAACAGGACTAAAAACCAGGTCTAAACCAGGTCTAAACCAGGACTAAACAGGAGGACTCCTAAACCAGGACTAAATCAGGACTAAACCAGGTCTAAATCATGCTGTGTGAACCATGTCTCCTCCTCTTCTATCAATAATATTTTTAATTTGGTGAAATAAAGTCTGGACTTTAATTAAAAAGTAAAGTAATTTAATAGATTCCGTTACAAACTACATTTTGGGGTCTGTAATCTGTAATCTGTAGGGGAATACATTTTAAAAACAACCTTCCCAACACTGTTTATAGTCTGAAAAATACAGTAGTTACGTTTAATTACACTATTTTCTGATCTGTCCCCTCAGCCCTTGGACTACGAGCGTAAACAGTCGTACACGGTGGAGATCCAGGTCCAGAACACCCACACGGACCCGCGCTTCCCCCTCGCCGGCTCCAACAACATGGCCACGGTGCGCATCAGCGTGGAGGACGTGGACGAGCCGCCGCTCTTCGACAAGCCCTGGTACCAGCTGGAGGTGAAGGAGGACGCGGCGGTCGGGTCGGCGGTGGGGACGGTGAGCGCGGTCGACCCGGACGGAGCGCGCAGCCCGGTCAAGTAAGAAAAAAAACCCTCAGTGTTCAGGGATTTAAATAAGACAAATAATACACAGGAAACTATTGAATTATTGTGATGGGAAATGGGAAATCAGGACTAAACCAGGACTAAACCAGGACTAGAACAGGACCGAGGCTGTGCTAAATTCCAGGTCTAAGCTTGGTCTAACTAAATTGCACAAGGCCTAAACCAGACTAAACAAAGAGACTAAACCAGGACTAATGCAGGACTGGACGAGGACTAAAGTAGGACTAAACAGGACTGAAACGGACTAAAGCAAGACTAAAACAAGACTTAAACAAGACTAAACAAGACTGAACAAGACTTGAGCTGGACTAGAGGAAGACCAAAACAGGACTGAACAAATACTAAATCAGGACTAAACCCGGACTAAACAAGGACTAAATCACGGACTAAACAAGGGACTAAACAAGGACTAAACCAGGACTAAACAGGACTAAACCAGGACTAAACAAGGACTAAATCACTAAACAAGGACTAAACAAGGACTAAACCAGTAAAGCTAAATTCACAGGAAGAGGACTAAACCAGGACTAAACTAGGACTGGACCAGGACTAAAGTAGGACTTAAAACAGGACTAAACAGGACTAAAGCAAGACTGAAGAACAAGATTAAACAAACTTGAGCTGGACTAAAGAGGAAGACAAACAACTGAACAAATACAAATCAGGACTAAACCCGGCTTAAACAAGACTAAACCAGGACTAAACAAGTACTAAAATTACTACTTAAACCAGGACTAAACAGGACTAAACCCGGACTAAAAAGGACTAAATCACTATAAACAAGGACTAACAAGGACTAAACAGGACTAAACAAGGACTAAATCAGGACTAAACAAGGACTAAACAAGGACTAAACCAGGACTAAACTAAACCAGGACTAAACCAGGACTAAACCAGGACTAGAACAGGACCAAGGCAGTACTAAATTCCAGAAGAGGACTAAACCAGGACTAAAGCAGGACTGGACGAGGACTAAAGTAGGACTAAACAGGACTGAAACAGGACTAAAGCAAGACTGAAACAAGACTTAAACAAGACTTGAGCTGGACTAGAGGAAGACCAAAACAGGACTGAACAAATACTAAATCAGGACTAAACCCGGACTAAACAAGGACTAAATCACGACTAAACAAGGACTAAACAAGGACTAAACCAGGACTAAACCAGAACTAAACAAGGACTAAATCACTACTAAACAAGGACTAAACAAGTACTAAATCAGGACTAAACCAGGACTAAACAAGGACTAAATCACTACTAAACAAGGACTAAACAAGGACTAAACCCGGACTAAACCAGGACTAAATCACTACTAAACAAGGACTTAACAAGGACTAAACCAGGACTAAACAAGGACTAAACCAGGACTAGAACAGGACCAAGGCTGTGCTAAATTCCAGGTCTAAGCTTGGTCTAAACTAAATTTGCACAAGGCCTAAACCAGGACTAAACAAAGAAGACTAAACCATGACTAAAGCAGGACTGGACGAGGACTAAAGCAGGACTAAACGGACTGGAAACAGGACTAAAGCAAGACTAAAGAAACAAGACTTAACCAAGACTTAAACAAGAATTAAACAAACTGAAACAAGACTTGAGCTGGACTAGAGGAAGACCAAAACAGGACTGAACAAGTACTAAATCAGGACTAAACCCAGACTAAACAAGGACTAAATCACTACTAAACAAGGACTAAACAAGGACTAAACAGGACTAAACCAGGACTAAACAAGGACTAAATCACTAAACTAAACAAGGACTAAAACAAGGACTACTAAACAGGACTAAACCAAGGACTAAACAGGACTAAATCACTACTAAACAAGGACTAAACAAGGACTAATAAAAAAGGACTAAACCAGGACTAAACACACTACTAAACAAGGACTAAACAAGACTAAACAAGGACTAAAACAGGACTAAACCAGGACTAAACAGACAAGGCTGTGCTAAACCAGGTCTAAGCTAAACTAATTTGCACAGGCCTAAACCAGACTAAACAAGGACTAAACAGGACTGAACGAGAACTAAAGTAGGACTAAACAGGACTAAACAGGACTAAAGGACTAAACAAGACAAGACAAGACTTAAACAAGACTGAAACAAGACTTGAGCTGGACTAGAGGAAGACCAAAACAGGACTGAACAAGTACTAAATCAGGACTAAAACCCAGACTAAACAAGACTAAATAAGGACTAAACTAAACTAAACAAGGACTAAATCACTACTAAACAAGGACTAAACAAGGACTAAACCAGGACTAAACAAGGACTAAACCAGGACGAGAACAGGACCAAGGCTGTGCTAAATTCCAGGTCTAAGCAAGGCCTAAAAAAGGACTAAACAAAGAAGACAAAACCATGACTAAAGCAGGACTGAACCAGGTCTAAAGAAGGACTAAAACAGGACTAAACAAAGAGGACTAAAGCAGGACTAAAGCAGGACTGGATGAGGACTAAAGTAGGACTAAACCAGGTGTAAACCAGGACTAAAGCAAGACTTAAACAAGACTTGAGCTGGACTAAACCAGGACTGGACCTGGATTAGAGGAAGACCAAAACAGGACTGAACAAGGACTAAAGCAGGACTAAACCAGGACTAAACCAGGACTGAACAAGAATTAAACCAAGTCTAAAGAAGGACTAAACTAGACCTAAACCAGTACTACACCTGGACTAAATCAGGAATAAACCAGGAGTACACCAGAACTAAACCAGGACTAAATCAGGACTACACCAGAACTAAACCAGGACTAAACAAGGACTAAATCAGGACTAAACCAGGACTAAACCAGGACTACACCAGAAATAAACCGGGACTAATCAAGAACTAAACAAGGACTAAATCAGGATTACACCAGAACTAAACCAGGACTAAACAAGAACTAAACCAGGACTAAACTAGGACTAAACAAGAACTAAACAAGGACTAAATCAGGACTACACTAGAACTAAACCAGGACTAAACAAGGACTAAACAAGAACCAAATCGTGACTAAACCAGGATGAAACCAGTACTACACCAGAACTAAACCGGGAATAAACCAGAACTAAACAAGGACTAAACCAGGACTAAACAAGAACTAAACTAGGACTAAACCAGGACTAAACAAGGACTAAACAAGAACTAAACCAGGACTAAACCAGGACTAAACAAGGAATAAACAAGAACTAAACCAGGACTAAACAAGGAATAAACAAGAACTAAACCAGGACTAAACAAGTAATAAACAAGAACTAAACCAGGACTAAACAAGAACTAAACTAGGACTAAAAATCTGGACTACACCTGGACTAAACCAGGGCTAAACAAGGACTAAACAAGACCTAAACCAGTACTATACAAGAACTAAACCAGGACTAAACAAGGAATAAACAAGAACTAAACCAGGACTAAACAAGTACTATACAAGAACTAAACCAGGACTAAACCAGGAATAAACAAGAACTAAACTAGGACTAAACAAGTACTATACAAGAACTAAACCAGGACTAAACAGATAACTAAACAAGGACTAAAAATCTGGACTACCCTGGACTAAACTGGCTAAACCAGGACTAAACAAGACCTAAACCAGTACTATAACAAGAACTAAACCAGGACTAAACAAGGAATAAACAGAACTAAACCAGGACTAAACAAGGAATAAACCAGAACTAAACCAGGACTAAACCAGGACTAAACAAGAACTAAACTAGGACTAAAAATCTGGACTACACCTGGACTAAACCAGGACTAAACAAGGACTAAACAAGACCTAAACCAGTACTATACAAGAACTAAACCAGGACTAAACAAGGAATAAACAAGAACTAAACCAGGACTAAACAAGGACTAAACAAGAACTAAACCAGGACTAGATCTACAGAAGAGCTGAATTTTTTTTTTTTTTTATTTTCCATTCTGTTTAAAAACTGGAGCAGAACAAAAACCACAAACACCTCAAATATAATAAAAATATAAAAACAAACCCCGGTTAATCATCTGTAAACCGTAAACTGTTCTACATTAACAAAGTAAAAGTACCACAGGAGTTTTTCTTTGTTTTTTTTTTTTTTTTTTTTTCTTCCGCTGATTCCGCGCAGTAGAACTTTGTGCCCACTCGTTTGAACAGAGTAAATACAGAGCAAATATTCTTCAGCCTGGTGAGTCTTAATTAAAAGCGCGGGCAGTGGAGCGAGGGGCACGCGGCGCTCACCGGGGACTGTAATTAAGAAATGCCAGGGCTCTATACACACTGTAATGTATTCCTCGTTTAACGGCGCTGATACGAGTCGTACAGACGCCGATTCACAAAAAAAAAAAAAAAAAAACACACGCGGGACGGAGCGGAGACACAGATCCACCTCTGCTGTGGGTTAGACCTGGTTTAGACCTGGTTTAGACCTGGTTTAGACCTGGTTTAGACCTGGTTTAATAAAAATACAGATATTTAAAATAAAACATAAACCAGATTTACACCTGCTATAAACCAGGACTAAACCAGGTCTAAACCAGGTCTAAACCAGGACTAAACCAGGTCTAAACCAGGTCTAAACCAGGTCTAAAGCAGGACTAAAACAGGTCTAAACCAGGTCTAAACCAGGTCTAAACCAGGACTAAAGCAGGACTAAACCAGGTCTAAACCAGGACTAAAGCAGGTCTAAACCAGGTCTAAAACCAGGACTAAAGCAGGACTAAACCAGGTCTAAACCAGGTCTAAACCAGGTCTAAAGCAGGATTAAACCAGGTCTAAACCAGGTCTAAACCAGGTCTAAAGCAGGACTAAAGCAGGTCTAAAGCAGGATTAAACCAGGTCTAAACCAGGTCTAAACCAGGTCTAAAGCAGGATTAAACCAGGTCTAAACCAGGTCTAAACCAGGTCTAAAGCAGGATTAAAGCAGTACTAAAACAGGACTAAACCAGGTCTAAACCGGATCTAAACCAGGACTAAAACCAGGACTAAACCAGGACCAAAACTGGACTGAACCAGGACTAAACCAGGACTAAACTAGGACTGGACTTGGACTAAAGTAAGACCCAAACTGGACTAAACCAGGACTAAACCAGGACTAAACCAGGTCTAAACCAGGACTGAACCAGGACTAAACCAGGACTGGACCTGGACTAAAGTAAGACCAAAACTGGACTAAACAAAGACTAAACCAGGACTGAACAAGGACTGAACCAGAACTAAACCAGGACTGAACCTGGACTAAACCAGGACTAAACCAAGACTGGACCTGGACTAAAATAAGACCAAACCAGGACTGAACCAGGACTAAAACAGGACCAGGATTAAACCAGGACTGGACTAAAGTAAACTAAACTAAGACCGAAACTGGACTGAACCAGGACTAAACCAGAACTAAACAGGAATTAAACAGGACTAAATCAGGACTGAACAAGGACTAAAGCAGGATTAAACCAGGACTTAACTAGGACTAACATTAGCGTACAAAGTGAAAAACACACACAGCAATTAAAATAAAACAAAACATTTTACCTGTTTTGTTACGTCATAGATAAAACTCTAGACTTCCGCTCTGTTTTTAAGCCCACAAACCATCACCGGACTCATTCAGATAATAATTTTAAGTGAAAAAATGTGAAATAACAAAAGAAAAGCGTGTTTAAAAGCGATTTAAAGTCTGAAGAATGTACCGTGTGTGTTGTTTAAAGCTGCGTTGCGTCGTTTGTGTGCTGTGTGAGACGTGACGTGTGTTTTTGTCGCAGATACGCCATAGACCGACGCACGGACCTGGAGCGGATCTTTAACGTCCACCCAGGAAACGGCTCCATCTTCCTGCTGCGCCCCATCGACCGCGAGGAGAACGCCTGGCACAACATCTCCGTCATCGCCTCCGAGTTCAGTCAGTATCAACTCTGCCAAACTTTTAATAGAAATACAAGAAATACAAGTAGCGTCGTACAATATAATAATTATAGAATGATAATGAATATACTACTAATAATAAATAAAATATAAATAATAATAATAATAATCAACTAAAAATAATATAATAAAAAATAAATAACGGGGGGGGGGACTCAAGCAGAACTGAAGCAAGACTGAAGCAGGACTAAACTGAGACGGATCCAGGACTAAAAAAGGACTGAAGCTGAACTGAAGAAGGACTGAACCAGGACTGAAGAAGGACTGAACCAGTACTAAAGCAGGACTAAACCGGGACTAAAGAAGGCCTAAAACAGGACTGAACAGGACTGAAGCAGGACTAAACCAGGACTGAACCAGGACTAAACAGGACTAAACCAGGACTGAACCAGGACTGAAAACCAGGACCAAACCAGGACTGAAGCAGGACTGAAGACGGACTGAACCAGACTGAAAGACTAAAGCAGGACTGAACCAGACTGAAAGAAGACTGAACCAGGACTGAACCAGACTAAACCAGGACCAAACCAGGACTGAAGCAGGAACTAAACCAGGACTGAAACCAGGACTGAAGCAGGACTGAACCAGGACTGATCCAGGACTGAAGAAGGACTGAACCAGTACTAAAGCAGGACTAAACCAGGACTGAACCAGGACTGAAGCAGGACTAAACCAGGACTGAACCAGGACTGAAGCAGGACTAAACCAGGAAACCAGGACTGAAGCAGGACTAAACCAGGACTAAACCAGGACTGAACCAGGACTGAAGCAGGACTAAACCAGGACTGAACCAGGACTGAAGCAGAACTAAACCTGAAGGACTGAAGCAGGACTAAACCAGGAAGCAGGACTGAAGGACTGAACCAGGACTGAAGCAGGACTAAACCAGGACTAAACCAGGACTAAAGAAGGCCTAAAACAGGACCGAACCAGTAACTAAAGACAAACAGGACTAACCAGGACTGAAGAGGACAAACCAGGACTAAACCAGGACTGAAGCAGGACTAAACCAGGACTGAACCAGGACTGAAGCAGGACTAAACCAGGACTGAACCAGGACTGAAGCAGGACTAAACCAGGACTGAAGCAGGACTAAACCAGGACTGAACCAGGACTGAAGCAGGGGCTTAGACTGTTTCAAAAACGTCAATAAATATTTATAGTCTTTTATGGCAACTCGTGTACAAACTAGGTACATTTGCAGATTTGTAAGTCTAAGTTTGTGTTGCCTCCAGTGGTAATTGCAACTTCAGGTACTATGTGACATCACACAGAACTGCCCTGATCACAGCCGGGTGTTTCTGATACAAAGAAACACCTGAATACCTGTGAATTGTGGCTGTGGGTGAAGTTTAGGTGTTTAGTCCCACTTTAATTAGCATTTGATAATCAGTGTTTTTTGTTTTTTTATAAGGATCTTAAAAACATGTAGACCGTCAAAATGATGTGATTGTGCGTTTGTTTTCTCGATCCCGGTGTGATGGCGTCTGTCTTTCTCTGTCGCAGATAACCCACGACAGAGCAGCACCGTCAACGTCTACATCAAGGTCCTAGACATCAATGACAACCCCCCTGTGCTGGCCACGACCTACGAGACCTACGTGTGTGAGAAGAGCAAGGCCGCGCAGGTAACTGAACCAGAACTGAGCCAGGACTGAACCAGGACTGAACCAGGACTGAACCAGGACTGAACCAGGACCAGACTGAACAGGACTAAACCAGGACTGAACCAGGACTGAACCAGGACAAACCAGGACTGAACCAGGACTGAACCAGGACTGAACAGGACTGAACCAGGACTAAAACCAGGACTGAACAGGACAGGACTGAACCAGGACTGAACCAGGACCGACCAGGACCAGGACCAGGACTAACCAGGACTGAAGCAGGGCTGAAGCAGGACTGAACCAGGACTAAACCAGGACTGAACCAGACTGAACCAGGACTGAACCAGAAGAACCAGGACTGAGCCAGGACTGAAACCAGGAAAACAGGACTAAACCAGAAACCAGAACTGAACCAGACTGAACTGAACCAGGACTAACCAGGACTAAACAGACTGAGCTAAACCAGGACTGAAGCAGGCTGAAGCAGGACTAAACCAGGACTGAACCAGGACTGAACCAGGACTGAAGCAGGACTGAACCCAGACTTAAGAAAGACTAAAGCAGGTCTGAAGAAAGACTGAACCAGAACTGAAGAAGGACTGAAGAAGGACTGAACCGGGACTGAACTAGGACTAAAACAGGACTGAACCATGAATAAAGCAGGACTAAATCAGGACTGAAGCAGGACCAAACCAAGACTGAACCAGGTCTGAAGCAGGACTGAACCAAGAGTAAAGCAGGACAGAACCAGGACTGAAGAAGGATTAAGGCAAGTCTGAAGAAGGACTGAACCAGGACTGAACCAGGACCAAACCACAACTGAACCTGGACTGAAGCAGGATTAAACGAGGATTAAACCAAGACTAAATCAGGACTGAACCAGGACTAAACCAAGTCTGAAGCAGGACTGAACCAGGACTGAACCAGGACTGAAGAAGGACTAAAGCAGGTCTGAAGAAGGACTAAAACAGGACTAAACCAGGACTGAAGCAGGACAGAAGCAGGATTAAACCAAGACTAAATCTGGACTAAATCAGGACTAAACCAAGTCTGAAGCAAGACTGAACCAGGACTAAACCAGGACTGAAGAAGGACTAAAGCAGGTTTGAAGAAGGACTAAAGCAGGACTGAAGCAGGACTGAAGAAGGACTGAAGCAGCACTAAATCTGGACTAAATCAGGACTAAACCAAGTCTGAAGCAGGACTGAACCAGGACTGAAGCAGGATTGAAGCAAGACTGAACCAGGACTAAACCAGGACTGAAGAAGGACTAAAGCAGGACTGAAGAAGGACTGAAGCGGGACTAAATCAGGACTAAATCAGGTTTGAAGCAGGACTAAAGCAGAACTAAAGCAGGACAGAAGCAGGATTAAACTAGAACTAAACCAGGACTAAACCAGGAATGAAACCGGACTGAACAAGAACTAAACCAGATCTTAACCTGGACTAAAATTTGAATTAAACCAGTGTCGAATCGTTGCACAGATTCCCGATTTATGACCGTTCAGATCGGAGAAACCTCTTTTAGGCTCGTTTCCATGGAGATCACCAAGCATAACACCACACCGTTCGTTTCCAGACAAAACAAATCAAATCTCCATGGAAACGCGTAGGTGGCAGACCGGAAAAGCTCCGCAGTTCCCCTTTAAGTCGTTGGCCCCCCCCTTGGATATTTAACACGTATCTCCGTCGGCTCCATCTGCTCGGAGACGATCATTTAATTAACGAGATGCAGAGGTGTAGACGAGATGCTAATTACCTCGCCGCCGAAGCCGGAGCCGGAGCCGGTGCACGGGGGCCCACCGGAGAGACAGGTACGGCTCAGCGGGAGGCGCCTTCGTATTTACATAATCCTCGGCAGCGGCAGATTGGTTCGGCGCGGAGGGAACAGCTGCAGACGCTCAAGCCAAAGTGTTAGCGAATATGAAAAATGCAACGTCATGTAGGTTGTTAAAGGTGCAACGTGGAACTTTTCTCGGGGCGCGGAATCGGGAGAATCGGGAGAATCTGTGTTTCGTCGGTTCGTCCGTTTTTCGAAATGAAACTAAAAGAAAGAAAATGAAAAAGCAGATGTTTTCTTCATGATTTGTCTCCAAAATCAAAATGAAAAAATGGATAATGATTCGTTTTTTCAGTTTCCGGAACTTAAACTGCAATGCCGGACTGAACCAGGTCTAAAACAGGTCTAAAACAGGACTAAACCAGGACTAAACTAGGTTTAAAACAGGATTAAACCAGGTCTAAACTAGAACTGAACTAGGACTAAACCAGAACTGAACCAGGACTAAATAAGGTCTTAACCAGAACTGAACCAGGTCTAAACCAGGACTGAAGCAGTTCTGAACCAGGAGTGAAGCAGAACTGAACCAGGACTGAACCAGGACTACACCAGGACTAAACCAAGATTAAAACAGGACTAAACCAGAACTAAAACAGGACTAAAACAGGATTAAACCAGGTCTAAACTAGAACTGAGGAAGGACTAAATCAAGAGTAAAACAGGTCTAAACCAGAACTAAACCAAGACTAAAACAGGATTAAACCAGGTCTAAACCAGGACAAGACCAGGACTAAACCAAGACTAAAACAGGATTAAACCAGGACTAAAACAGGACTAAACCAGGTCTAAAACCAGGACTAAAACAGGTCTAAACAGGACTAAAACGGGACTAAAGCAGGACTGAACTAGGACAAAACGAAAACTAAAACAGGACTGAACTAGGTCTAAACCAGAACTGAATCAGGACTAAAACCAGGACTAAACCAGGTCTAAACCAGGACTAAACAGGACTAAACCAGGACTAAACCAGGTCTAAACCAGGACTAAAACAGGACTAAACTAGGTCTAAACCAGGACTAAACCAGGACTAAAACAGGACTAAACCAGGACTAAACCAGGACTAAAACAGGACTAAACCAGGACTAAACCAGGTCTAAACCAGGACTAAAACAGGACTAAACTAGGTATAAACCAGGACAAGACCAGGACTAAACCAGGACTAAAATAGGTCTAAACCAGGACTAAAACAGGTCTAAACTAGGACTAAAACGGGACTAAAGCAGGACTGAACTAGGACTAAACGAAAACTAAAACAGGACTGAACTAGGTCTAAACCAGAACTGAATCAGGACTAAACCAAGACAAAAACAGGTCTAAACCAGGACCAGTGTCTTTTGAAACAGATTCATAAGTTAAAACAGAAATCAAAACTAAAGAGGTGAGTGTATCTTTACACAATCCACATTCAAAACATGATTATTATTAAATCATAATAAAATAATGACATAATATCCAGATAAATCCGTGTGTTGTTCTTGATCCTCGGTGTTTTCTCGTGCAGAGGATCCAGACCATCAGCGCTGTGGACCCGGACGAGCCGTCCTCTGGACATCGCTTCTTCTTCAGCCTGGCACCAGAGGGCGCTCACCGCAGCAACTTCACTGTGAGAGACAACGGAGGTGAGCGCACGTCCTGTACTCTACTGCCATCTGCTGTCCACAGAACGCTACTGCAACTGTGCTTATGTACTTTTACTGCAGCTACAACTACTACTATACCAGACCAACTTTATTTATTTAGCATTTAAAAACTTTACAGCTGAACAAACTGTTGTTCACAAACATCGAATACACAAGGACAATCGCAGTACAAGAAAATACACAATACAAAAAACAAAACAACTACTAAAAAATTTAGAAAACAATAAGATCACTTGTTGTCACTTGTTAAAAGTCTTTTTTTTTCGTTCTTTTTTTAAATGTATTATTTTTATTTATTTATTTTGCTTATATGATATATTTTATTTATATATATATTTATATGTATTTATATTTATTATTATATATATTTATTTATTTATTTATTTATTTATTTATTATTATTATGTACTATTATTATTTTTCTTTTCTCAGGAGACGGGGGGGGGGGGGGTCACATGGTCACATCATTGCATTGTTCCTAATAAAAGAATGAAAAAAAAAAAGTCAGTGAATAAAGGTGCATTTTTAGGAGTGATTTAAAAACAGGTACAGACTCCACCTGCTATTACTTCTCTACTAAAGAAGTATAAAGACTACGTTCAGACTGCAGCTTGACGTGACCCAAATCAGATTTTTTGGCCCCTATGTGACCTGTATCTGATCTTTTAATGACAGTCTGAACGACACAGATCCGATTTTTTCAAATACGACCCAGGACACTTGGATATGTGCTCCTGAAACCGATAAATATCTGATCTTTTGACATGTGACTTCAATCTGAATGGCCAAGGCGCATTCATCCACCTACACGTTATCAACAAGACACAAATGTACACAAACGTTCTTCCCGTCATATGAAAATTGTTAATGAACTCCATGTCACTGAAGTGAAGCACATCTCTCTCCCACCACTCTTGGCTCCGTCTCCACATCCACACGTTCCTTTCAACAGACTGTCCCACAAAACACCACGGCCAAAAACCTCGTCCTTCTCCTTCTCAATCTCCTCCTTAAAACAAGTAAGTTGTTCATGTTCTGGCTCCGGTACGAGAGGAACTTTAAAATCTCCAGGTGCTCGATGCTCATGTCCATGTTTGGACAACTTCCATAAACACAGAGACGCTCGCTGCGGTTGACGTCGTCGTGTCTCCAGTGTCACATGCGGGACACTTTCGGGACGTTTAATGTTCACACTGGAGATCACATATAAGGCATCTAACTGTACCTCATCTAAATCTTGTCTTGCTCAGTTTCTTGTCCCGCTAAAATGAGCTGCTCCGTGACATGTTTGTTTTGTAAAAGTAGCTCTCTGGAGGAAAAAGGTTATAGACTCTCCTGCTGTAGAATCTTCACTCAGACACAGCTCTGTCTCCTGTGCAGATAACACGGCGGCCATCTTGACTCGCAGGAACAGTTACAGCCGGCTGCAGCAGAGCGTGTACCTGGTTGCCGTGGTGATCACAGACGCAGACTACCCCATGCAGAGCAGCACGGGCACGCTCACGGTGCGAGTGTGCACGTGCGATCGCCACGGAAACATGGAGCTGTGCAACGCCGAGGCTCTGAGCAGCAGCCCCGGACTCAGCACAGGAGCACTCATCGCTATACTGCTGTGTGCAGTAATACTACTCAGTAAGTACTACTACTACTACTACTACTACTACTACATCACACTGCTATACTGCTGTGTGCAGTAATACTACTCAGTAAGTACTACTACTACTACTACTACTACTACTACTACTACAACACCGCTATACTGCTGTGTGCAGTAATACTACTCAGTAAGTACTACTACTACTACTACTACTACTACTACTACTACTACTACTACAACACTGCTATACTGCTGTGTGCAGTAATACTACTCAGTAAGTACTACTACTACTACTACTACTACTACTACAACACTGCTATACTGCTGTGTGCAGTAATACTACTCAGTAAGTACTACACTACTACTACTACTACTACTACTACTACTAACACTATACTGCTGTGTGCAGTAATACTACTCAGTAAGTACTACTACTACTACTACTACTACTACTACTACAACACTGCTATACTGCTGTGTGCAGTAATACTACTCAGTAAGTACTACTACTACTACTACTACTACTACTACATCACTATACTGCTGTGTGCAGTAATACTACTCAGTAAGTACTACTACTACTACTACTACTACTACAACACCGCTATACTGCTGTGTGCAGTAATACTACTCAGTAAGTACTACTACTACTACTACTACTACTACTACTACTACACCGCTATACTGCTGTGTGCAGTAATACTACTCAGTAAGTACTACTACTACTACTACTACTACTACTACACCGCTATACTGCTGTGTGCAGTAATACTACTCAGTAAGTACTACTACTACTACTACTACTACTACTACTACTACTACATCACTATACTGCTGTGTGCAGTAATACTACTCAGTAAGTACTAATACTACTACTACTACTACTACTACTACACACACGCTACTATACTGCTGTGTGCAGTAATACTACTCAGTAAGTACTACTACTACTACTACTACTACTACTACTACTACTACTACTACTACTACTACTACTACTACTACTACTACTACTACTACTGCTATACTGCTCTGTGCAGTAATACTACTCAGTAAGTACTAATACTACTACTACTACTACTACTACAACACCGCTATACTGCTCTGTGCAGTAATACTACTCAGTAAGTACTAATACTACTACTACTACTACTACTACTACAACACTGCTATACTGCTGTGTGCAGTAATACTACTCAGTAAGTACTACTACTACTACTACTACTACTACATCACTATACTGCTGTGTGCAGTAATACTACTCAGTAAGTACTACTACTACTACTACTACTACTACTACTACTAACACTGCTATACTGCTGTGTGCAGTAATACTACTCAGTAAGTACTACTACTACTACTACTACTACTACTACTACTACTACTACTACTACTACTACTACTACTACTACTACTACAACACTGCTATACTGCTGTGTGCAGTAATACTACTCAGTAAGAACTACTACTACTACTACTACTACTACTACTACTACTACTACTACTACATCGCTATACTGCTCTGTGCAGTAATACTACTAAGTAAGTACTATTACTGCTACTACTACTACTACCACTACTACTACTATTACTATTACTGATATATTACTGTGTGCTGTAATACTGCTCAGTAAGTACTACTACTACTACTACTACTACTACTACTATTACTACAACTGATGTACTACTGTGTTGTGTAATACTACTGAGTAAGTACTACTACTGCTACTACTACTGATGTACTACTGTATGCTGTAATACTGCTCAGGAATTACTACTACTACTGCTAATACTATTACTAATATTACTACTACTACACACATCTGAGTGTAGTTTTGCTACTCAGAAAGCAGTACTTTAACACTTTCTACTACTGCTACTCCTAGGTGTGGCTATTTGACTCAATAAGTACTTGTACAACTATCACTACACAGTACTACTGCGTGTGCTGCTTCTGCCCACAGACTCTGTGACTACCCACCACTTACAGTACTGACTCATAGATATAACAGATAGTGTGTTGCACGTAGACACAACATCAGCACTAATCAAACCCTGGTCTCTCTCAGTGATCGTGTTCCTGTTCGCGGCGCTGAAGCGTCAGAGGAAGCAGGAGCCTCTCATCATCTCCAAGGAGGACGTCAGGGACAACGTGGTGAGCTACAACGACGAGGGCGGCGGCGAGGAGGACACCCAGGCCTTCGACATGGGCGCTCTGCGTCACCCGGACTCTGCCGCCGTCCTGGAGGAGCCCGCCAAACAGAGACGCGACATCATGCCCACCGACACCCTGCTGTACCCGCCCCTCCGCAGACACGCCCCCTCCGCCATGCTCCTCCCCCCGCTGGGCCCGCGCGACAACAACGGCGACGTGAGGGACTTTATCAACCAAAGAGTCCTGGAGCACGACTGCAACCCCACGGCGCCCCCCTATGACTCTCTGGCCACCTACGCCTACGAGGGGGCGGGGTCGGTGGCCGAGTCGCTCAGCTCGCTCGGCTCCGCCTCCTCCGAAGCGGACCAGGACTACCAGTACCTGAGCGAGTGGGGCCCGCGCTAAGCTCGCCGACCTGTACGGCGCCGACGACGACTTCTGCTAACAGACAATCACACTGGAGCTTTAACCTGACGGGCAGGTGGACTGACAGGGGCAAAAAGTGACAGGAGCACAGATCTAAAAGGGTGGTCCGGGATTTTAACCTTCTAAAGATGGCCGACTCCCAGTTTGGAGAAGCACTCTGGAGCGTTGTCCAAATATGTTTTAGAGTTGTGTTTGTTTCATTGCTTTGCCAGCAGAGGGCGCAGACAATCCAAATATTCTCTGTGCTCGAGAAGCCATGTGTCAGATATTTTATTATTTAAATTTGGAAAAAAAAAAAAAAGAGGAAGAAGGAAGGCTGTTGTTTTTGTATAACTTTTATAAATGATGAAACTCTGAGGTTGGTCAGTGATCAGCTTGGTTCTTTTTAAAGGAGAGGTCTATACTACAGTTTTGTTTTACTTTTTTGCAAAATTTAAATCAAATTAAAAATTTAAATTGATCAATATTAGTGAAAACATACTGATTCACTTTTTTTCCATATCATCAGCTCTTTGGAAAAAATCGAAGTCATCCTGTAAAACAATCGTCTAGTTAGTTAATTATTCTTATTTTAAGGATCCTATATTTTGCTAAACCTGGAGTTTGGAGCTTTTAACCTCGTGATAATCATGTTTTATGATCAAAAACATACTTGAAATTGTGTTTTATTTCTTATCCCCCTTATATTTTTACATGTACCAGCCGTATGTACAAAGTTAAGCCCCATTCACGTGCAGCCTGACCCGGGAATTTACCTGTGAACGAAGCCAGAGCTGATTTCCAGCATTTCCCAGATAAATCACCAGGAAACCAGAAGGAATATGCAGGGAAGACTATGAATGTGAATAAAGCCAGAAAATTCGCAGTCCCACAGCTTGGTTTCCTTGGTTTACGATTTAGTTTTTCTTGGTTATAATCTTGGATTCCTTGTTCACGATCTTGGTTTCCTTGGTTACTCTTTAGTTTTTCTTGGTTACAACCTTGGATTCCATGGTTTCCTTGGTTTCCTTTCGTTTGATTGGGTACAACCTTGGGTTTCTTGGTTACGACCTTGGTTTCCACGGTTATGACCTTGGTTTCCTTGGTTGCAATCTTTGTTTCCTTGGTTACAACATTGGTTTCCACGGTTACGACCTGTGTTTCCTTGGTTACCACCTCGGTTTCCATGTTTACGATTTTAGTTTCCTTGTTTACAGCCTTGGTTTCCACAGTTACAATCTTGGATTCCCCGGTTACAATCTTGGTTTCCACGGTTACGACCATGGTTTCCTTGGTTCCAATCTTGGTTTGATTAGTTACAACCTTGGTTTTCTTGGTTACAACCTTGGTTTCCACAGTTACAACCTTGGTTTCCTTGATTACAATCTTGGTTTCCTTGGTTACGAACTTGGTTTCCACAGTTACAATCTTGGTTTCCTTGATTACAATCTTGGTTTCCTTGGTTACGAACTTGGTTTCCACAGTTACAATCTTGGTTTCCTTGATTACAATCTTGGTTTCCTTGGTTACGACCTTGGTTTCCACAGTTACAATCTTGGTTTCCTTGATTACAATCTTGGTTTCCTTGGTTACGACCTTGGTTTCCACAGTTACGACCATGGTTTCCTTGGTTACCACCTTGGTTTCCATGTTTACGATTTTAGTTTCCTTGTTTACAACCTTGGTTTCCTTGGTTACAATCTTTGGTTTCCTTGGTTACAGCCTTGGTTTCCTTGATTTCGTTGGTTACAGTCTTGGTTTCCTTGACAGTGCAGATTCCAGGTTTACTGTGAACCGAGCAGAGCTGGTAATGTTCTGGGGCTGGTGCATGTGTGAATGAGGTCACCGCTTCTGACATCTTGTACTTTTTCACAATTTTTTGGGATCTATGTGTGAACGGGACTTAAAAGTATGTTTACAAACCTGGACATTGCAGGACTGATCACTGCCTTCGTCTGTAAACATATTTTAGGAATGTCCAAAATGGTATTGTTTGTTTTGCTGGTTAATCATTTTATTTTCATTTTTCTGCCCTGATTCTTGTCTGTCAGGCTGCTTCTCCAAACTGGGACTGCCGTGTGGATGTACCCAGAGACAGTGGACTATCCTTTGTTTACGTTTTTTCAAAGTTCCTGGAGGTTTCGTACATGATTTTGCCCAAAAAATTGACTTGATAACCATGAATATTTTTGACATTTGAAGGCATTGAACTCTGTATTTTGAGTTCATCTGGTGCTTTTTGAGTCCAAACTACAAGATCGCGGATATATTTCAAAATACTGGATTAACTAAAACGGAATTATTTGTTTTTCTTTCATTGCTCCTGACCTGACCTGCCGACCAGTGCATGCGGAGCTCCCAGACACCTCACGGATTTTGATTTCAAATGTCGGAGCGTTGGAACATTTGAGACTTCTGACAGACGAGTGGACCACAATCTTTTTTGAGCAAAGTGTCCTTGCGCCCTCCTTCTCTTCTCGAACAGGCCTGGCAGTACCGGGGCTGACCAGAAGGGGGTGATGACTCTTATTCTTCACTGCTTTTTTAAATGATTCTTTTGCGTCTTGTACAATTGGAGCATTCCAGAGGACTATCCAGAGGAGTACCCACAGGAGTACACAGAGGAGTACCCAGAGGAGTACCAGAGGAGATTCGGACACAGAGTATTTGATGAGCTTGTGTTTAGCGCTGCACACGAGTCTTGGACTGTACATGTGTTCTGTTTTTTTATAAAGCGTCTGTTTGTAAAATAAAACTTGAATTACATTTGACACCTGCACATTTGTTTCTTTTACATGATGAGATTGAACATGACATGATGGTTTTAGAGGTGGGGACTTACAAATCATGACTTGGACTCGAGTCACAATTTTTTTAGGACTTGAGACTTGACTTGAAAAAATGAACAAAGACTTGGGACTCGACTTGGACTTGAAGGTCAGTGACTTGGGACTTGATGTGGACTTGAACTCTGTGACTTGGGAAGACTTAAAGCTTCTCCTAAAAATATGTATGTTTTTAGAAAATACTTTTTCTCTTTACAGTTGATAAATGTGGTGATTAATTTTACAGGAACATGTCCCTTCCACTTCTCTTTTTACAGGAAATTACTACAATTGTCTATTTTTCCAAATTAACTGTAAGCTTGTAAAACTTGAACCTGAATTAAAATTGGCGTTCATCGTGCAAAATAAAATTAGTTCCCCTTTAAAAAGTGCAATCATTTGATTTACTCTAAATTGAAATTTACTCCATGACTAATTATCAGGATGGCCTTAAGGATTCACTGGATTTATCAACAATACGGTTCATAACAAATTTACAATGATTTACAGTTCTTCTCTCAGTGTCTGTAGTGAGGGAGTCAGGCTGGCGCCACCTAGTGCCTCCGCTCAGTTTCATTTCTCTCCAGCGACTAGGTCAGGAATCAGAATACACTAGACGGTTCACAAAAACTACAAAAGTGTGAGTTCGGGCACCAGCCAATCAGCGAAGAGCCATATATTCTGTGCTGGCAACAGTTCCTGAGATCGAGGATTTAAAGCCGGAACAAAGAGAATGTTTGGTGAATTTTATCAAGGGGAAAGACGTTATTGCTCTTCTTCCTACGGGATTTGGGGAAAGCTTAATATACCAGTTACACCCGTTTGTGGTGCATTACAGACGTCACAACCAAATAGCAGCGATTGGTTAAATAAAAAAGTATCAGCCTACCGTGGAGCGAACAAATATTAATGCTGTGAGGTCAGAAGGTTTCTACGAAGTGAAATCGGCTGATGAATCAGTCTAGTAAAACTGAGGACACACTACATAGAACAAGATTCTTCCATTTCAGTGCAAACTACACGACAAAATAACTCTTATCAAGCACTTTTAAATCAGATTTTTTTCTATTCTGACTGTAATTATTCCCTGTTAAAAGGAAAAATTAGCTTTTCTACAACTCTTATATAAATACTCATATATAAATATACCATGATTTTTAAATATTATTTAGTTTAAAAGTCATATAAATTGCAAAAAAGATATAGTTTGTACTTTTTTGGTTTAAAAACTTGAAATGATTTGAAGCTCAAAGCAGACGACTTGGACTTGACTTGGACTTATGGACCAGTGACACGAGACTCAACTTGGACTTGCCTGTACTTGACTTGGGACTTGACTCGCACTTGAGGACAAAGACTCGAGATTTACTTGAGATAAACAATGACTCGGTCCCACCTCTGCAGGTTCTAAGGGTTGGGTTTTTTTTTGCAGATGAAGACCTCAGATAACCCGACTCTCACAGGACTCAGACAGGTGACCGGGGGCTGCATTATTTAGAGCTTTAAAAACAAATAGTACAGTCTGTGTTTGCCAGGTCACTTTACTGGAGTCTCATCACCAAAATATCTGTAAAACTGTCCGTGACCTCAGGGCTTTGTTGCTGAAATGGAGTGTTCAGTGTTTCCTCACACTCTGACAGTCTGTGCAGTCACTCCGCTCGGCTGCTGCTGGTCGGGGAGAGGCCTGCTCGAATTCCCGCTGACGGACGGAGCGTGTGCGGGGCGTGTCAGGCGTGTCATGTGACTCACGGCCCTCAGGCGCAGGATAGTGCGAGGAAGAACAGGGAGCGGCCCACACCTCAGGGTGCTCTTTTCCCTTTGTCACCCAGTCTGCGGTCTGTGAGCTGTGCATGCTTCATCCTGATACACACAGCCTGCAGGCCTGGTTTAGACTGGGTTTAGATCTGGTTTAGATCTGGTTTAGAACTGGTTTAGATCTGGTTTAGATCTGGTTTAGACCTGGTTTAGACCTGGTTTAGACCTGGTTTAGATCTGGTTTAGATCAGGTTTAGATCTGGTTTAGATCTGGATTAGACCTGGTTTAAACCTGGTTTAGAACCTGGTTTAGACCTGGTTTAGACCTGGCTTAGACCTGGTTTAGATCTAGTTTAGACCTGGTTTAGATCGGGTTTAGACCTGGTTTAGACCTGGCTTAGACCTGGTTTAGATCTAGTTTAGACCTGGTTTAGATCTGGTTTAGATCGGGTTTAGATCTGGATTAGACCTGGTTTAGACCTGGTTTAGACCTGGTTTAGATTGGGTTTAGATCTGGTTTAGACCTGGTTTAGATCTAGTTTAGACCTGGTTTAGATCTGGTTTAGATCGGGTTTAGATCTGGTTTAGATCTGGATTAGACCTGGTTTAAATCTGGTTTAGACTTGGTTTAGACCTGGTTTAGACCGGGTTTAGATCTGGTTTAGAACTGGTTTAGATCTGGTTTAGACCTGGTTTAGAACTGGTTTAGAACTGGTTTAGATCTGGTTTAGATCTGGTTTAGACCTGGTTTAGACCTGGTTTAGATCTGGTTTAGATCAGGTTTAGATCTGGTTTAGATCTGGATTAGACCTGGTTTAAACCTGGTTTAGACCTGGTTTAGACCTGTGTTAGACCTGGTTTAGATCTAGTTTAGACCTGGTTTAGATCTTTAGACCTGGTTTAGACCTGGCTTAGACCTGGTTTAGATCTAGTTTAGACCTGGTTTAGATCTGGTTTAGATCGGGTTTAGATCTGGATTAGACCTGGTTTAGATCTAGTTTAGATCTGGTTTAGATCGGGTTTAGATCTGGTTTAGATCTGGATTAGACCTGGTTTAAATCTGGTTTAGACTTGGTTTAGACCTGGTTTAGACCGGGTTTAGATCTGGTTTAGAACTAGTTTAGATCTGGTTTAGACCTGGTTTAGAACTGGTTTAGAACTGGTTTAGATCTGGTTTAGATCTGGTTTAGACCTGGTTTAGACCTGGTTTAGATCTGGTTTAGATCGGGTTTAGATCTGGATTAGACCTGGTTTAGATCTAGTTTAGACCTGGTTTAGATCTGGTTTAGATCGGGTTTAGATCTGGTTTAGATCTGGATTAGACCTGGTTTAAACCTGGTTTAGACTTGGTTTAGACCTGGTTTAGGGTTGATTTAGACCTGGTTTTGACATTGATTAGACCTGGTTTAGACCTGATTTAGACTTGATTTAGTCCTGGTCTAGTCTTGATGCCGTCCTAATGACATTTTGGTCTAGTCCCTGTACAGTTTTGGCTAAGTTCTAGTTCCATTTTGGTTTAGACCTGCTTTAGTCCTGGTTGAGTTCTAGTTAAGCATCGATGCAGTCCTAGTTTAGATCTATTTTAAGGTGGAACAGTACAAAACAAAACATTATTTTCCTATTTCGAAAATTTGAAATTTTTTCACCTTATTTACAACTTACAACAAATTATCATCTGTCTGCACAAATCTTTGATTAATTCCATTAATCATTATTTTTACTTTACATAAACTTTAACCAGCTTTAATTCATTGTGACCAAACAGTTACTGATTCAGTCTTAGTAACTAGTTAATGAACAGTCACAGTTATGAGTTAGGGTATTGGTTAAGTAAGCCTGAATCATCTTTAAAGGCACACTGTGTAACTTTTCGATTGGTGGTCCGTACTTTCTTGTTTCTATGGATTAAGAATGTTCCACAGTATGACATTAAACTCAATTACTTTACATTTATTTACTTACAGGTGGTTTTATAGCTCAAAAAAACAAGAAAAAGGAACCTAGAAAAACAGGCATTCTGACTATGAGCGGGGTCGCCTCTCCGCAGATCTGACCTGTAACTTGGTCTGCTTTGGTTTCCGTGGAGATCGAAAGGTCTACACCACACCATTTAATGCCAAACATTCCACACAAAGCAGTAGAAAAGCGTTTGACGAACCCTCCACGAGAAAAGTTGCACAATGCACCAATAAGAAACTATTTGCTGATTATAATTTAAGTTTTATTCATGATTTATTAACAGTATTAAAGTTGTTGTTATTATAAAATGTCAGCCGCCTTTCCACTTTCTCAAATCCTCAAAAGAAATAACCCACAGTAGTGCTTTACACCGTGTTGACACCTCTGAGCAGTGGCGGCGGGTCTAAGGGTTAACCTGACTAGGCGTGACTCATTGTGCAGCGCAAACAGGGCGTCTCTGCTCCTGTCGGGACCTGTCGCGCAGGAGCACAACAGGACAGGAGCGGGGCCGTACTAAAGACTCCGCGCCGGGATCGACTCTTCATTTGGGTCCTGTTCCCCAAGCTTTTCCAATCCTGATCCGGACCATGGGACTATCTTTAGTGTTTCTGTGCGGCGCGTTGGCCCTGATCTGCAGCGCCCAGGCCACGTACAACTACCACAGTGAGTACTTTCACTACTTTTACTTTTAGAGAGTGTATTTATGAAGAGCTACGGATCATGGGAGGGCATCTGGCACTCAGGGATACGTAAAGATGGGAGAGTATCTGGCTTATAAAGAGATGATGCGGGGATATACAGAAGGAAAATAGGGCACAAGCCAAAAAAAAAGACAAAAACTTTTCTGACATACATGAGTGTAAGAGGACGGGAGGGCATCTGACATAACAAGCAGGACTCCAATACCGGTCAAAAGTTTTAGAACACCACACTTTTTCCAGTTTTTTACCATTTACTGTTACGTATTCTAAACTTTTGATTCATGAAAGCGTCAACTTCTTCAACAGAAATCAAATATTCTTCAGAAAGTTATTAATTCAATTACTTTTAATTAATTATTGCATTTTTACAGCACCTTTCAAGATACCCAAAGCGATTTACAGTTCATTATTCATTCACTCAAAACTCAGCAGTGGTAAACTACGACTGTAGCCACAGCTGCCCTGGGGCAAGACTGCCAATCTGCGCCATTAGCCTCAGTTTTCCTGAGGTAGTTTTGGCAGAGCTTGGACTTGTGTTTTGTATCTTTTATCTTTTTTTGAACCATTTCAAGCTCTTCATTGGACTTGCAAAATTTCAAATGCAATAAATAACTGGAATAATGTGGGTTATCTAAAACTTTTGACCAGTAGTGTATACGAAGATGGAAGGGCATCTGAGACACACAGGTTATAGGAGGATCCAGTCAAGCAGAAGTAAACAGCAAGGCCAAAAATTCAAGTTAATGCATCTGATATAAAAATGTATTGAACAGATACATATGTACTCTAGTTTATGAAACTGTTTACCTTTTTTCTGTACCATTTTTGGTTCTAAAGTTACATACGTTTTAAACAGACCATGTATGAAACATGGAACAAAAATTATTTCCCAAATTTCAAAGACCCAAAAATCATGTAAATAAATGGATGTATTTCATCATATCTTGTGTTATTCCATCTTTGAACTGTTGATGAAGGGACATGATTTTTTTTTTTTTTAAAAAGTATTTAAAATGATAAAAATTTGCTTGGAAGGACTGACATATTTTATAGAAATAGTTTCCTTTCATTTTGAAGTAATATTAAAGTATTTGGAAGAAAAAAGTTGACAAATTATGTAAAATCATGCACCTTCTACTTGTTTGCACAATTTTCCCTCCGTTACTTTTCCCTCCGTTACCATGACCTTTCTTAATAAAAAATCTCATTACTCAAAAAGTAAGAGGTTTTTCAACCTAATCTTGTACCATATGGTAGAAAACTATATGAAGCAAATATTCAAACCAGTTTGTTAAGGATATGTAAGTGAGAACCAAGAGTTATCACTGTTTGTATTTATTGCCCAAAAAGTGCTGCATATTTCATTCCCTCCGTTACCAACATGAGTTTTTAAAATTTTTTGTCAACAACTTGAAAGAATATCACAGGTTTAACTTTACCCTGTTGGAGTGTAACTCTTTCCTACATTCTGATACTTTACTTATTTCAATAGTCCCTCTAGTTTCTGAATAAGAGACATTTGAATGTCAAAAATCTGCCCCGTTTCCCTCCGTTACCACTTGACCAGACCCAGGAGGATGGTAGGGCATCTGACACATGGGGTACAGTGACATCTCAAAGCCCAGGTAATTAAAATATTTCATGACCGGTGTCTATTTGAAATGACAGTGATGTGAGGAGTGCACTGACATTACACAGATATTTGCATTTTTAAAGATGAAAAAACAGTAGATTTATGTTTTATGTGAATACACTGTAACTCTCCTCGGATCCAAGGTTAAGGTTAGAGATGGAGAGGATGAGGAGGCTGATGCTTCTGCTGCTGCGGAGAGGATGTCATGTCATTTTTGAGATCTGTTTGTGAAGGAAAGTGGAATCGATATTAGTTATTAGTTATAGACAAAATGACAAGCAATACTTTACAAGCTGAAAGTGTTTTAAAAAGCTTCATATTCAACGTTGAGGAGATAAATGATGTTTTCTGTACCAAAGTTGACCAGAGGGAGGGTGTTTCGTGTCCTTGTAAAGTTGCTGTTTGACATTGTAAAGTGTATAATATTTATGCCCTGTGGCTCTAAACCTTCCGTCGTTCATCATGAGTCATTCCCTGAGCTCCTGATGCGACGCTGTTTACACGACTCTAGAGGATTTAGAGAGAGAGAGTTTTTTTTTTAAAGCGAAAGTTTATTTTGACATCGTGTGCCTCGTCCCGTCTGTCCCCGGCTGAAAAAAACTGGAGACGCTTTACTGATGCTGAGAGATTTTCTCAGGCTCAGGCGGAGTATTCTGTATAACCCGGAGTATTCTGTATAACCTAGAGTATTCTGTATAACCCGGAGTATTCTGTATAACCCGGAGTATTCTGTATAACCCGGAGTATTCTGTATAACCCGGAGTATTCTGTATAACCCGGAGTATTCTGTAAAATCCGGGGTATTCTGTATCTGTAGAGTATTCTGTATAACCCGGAGTATTCTGTATAACCGGAGTATTCTGTATATTCTGTATAACCCGGAGTATTCTGTATAACCCGGAGTATTATTCTGTATACCCGGAGTATTCTGTATAACCCGGGGTATTCTGTATAACCCGGAGTATTCTGTATAACCCGGGGTATTCTGTATAACCCGGAGTATTCTGTAAAATCCGGGGTATTCTGTATAACCCGGGTATTCTGTATAACCCGGAGTATTCTGTATAACCCGGAGTATTCTGTATAACCCGGAGTATTCTGTATAACCCGGAGTATTCTGTATAACCCGGAGTATTCTGTATAACCTAGAGTATTCTGTATAACCCGGGGTATTCTGTATAACTCTAGAGTATTCTGTATAACCCGGAGTATTCTGTATAACCCGGAGTATTCTGTATAACCCGGAGTATTCTGTAAACCGGGTATTCTGTAACCCGGAGTATTCTGTATAACCCGGTATTCTGTATAACCCGGAGTTTCTGTATTCTGTAACCCGGAGTATTCTGTATAACCCGGAGTATTCTGTAACCCGGGTATTCCACATAACACAGAGTATTTTTTATAACCCTGAGTATTCTATATACGCTACATCAGACATGTCAAACTCAGGCCCGGGTGCCAAATTTGGCCCGTGATGTAACTATATTTGGCCCATGACATCATATCAAATCTGTTTTAGAGCTGCCCACCCGCTACAGATCGACTATAGAGACATTATTTATTTAAAATGTTGTTATTATTTTATATTCTGCTTGTTCTGGATCCAGTGTTTAAGCAAAACGATTATTAAATATTTATTTTAATAAGAAAAGGTTTAACATTACATTTCAATAAATATTTCAGGGGTGTCAAACTCAAATTGACACAGGGCCAAAATTTAAAACTGGGACTAAGTCGTGGGTCAAACTAAATACTTACTGAAATTTACAACATCTGCATGTTTTCTCTTCTTTCGAGATATGTCATTTTAAACCTTTTTTTGTTAAAATAAATGTTTAATAATAGTTTTTCTTAAACATTGAATCCAGAACAAGCATCATATAAAATAATAACAAAAAATTTAAATAAATAATGCTTCTATAGTCTGTAGCCGGCGGGTCAGCTTTAATACATATTTGAGACGATCTCACGGCCAAATATAATTTAGTTTGTGAAATATTTTGTTTGACTTAGTCCCAGTTTTTAATTTCAGCCCTCTCTGAATTTGAGTTTGACACCCCTAACCTAGAGTATTCTATATTACCTAGAGCCGGCAAGTCCAAACTATGGCCCGGGGGCCAAATGCGGCCCTCAGACAAATTTTTCTTGGCCCTCAGGCTTCCAGGTGAATTGGCCCAAATTACATTGCATCAATTAAAAAATATTTTTTCACTGCAAGTTTTTTTGAAAATCTACCTTGATAAAGATAATATTTAATATTTAGGATCTTTTATTTTATATTTTAAGGATCTTAGCATGATTAAAGACTGATGGCTCATTCTAACGTGTTAAACATGCACATATTTCAGTTATTCCCTGTACTGAGCACCAGTCTACTGCCCTCGATCGGCCCTCTGCTTCGTCTGTGTTTAGATATGTGGCCCTTGATGAAAAAAGTTTGGACACCCCTGACCTAGAGTCTTCAGTATAACTCAGAGTATTCAGTATAACCCCACGTGTTCACTGCCTGCAAGTGACTCATTAAAACCAATGCACACTGACCTCTGCACCTGCCACACTGACCTCTGCCCTCTGCACCTGCCACACTGACCTCTGCCCTCTGCACCTGTCACACTGACCTCTGAGGAGTGCATGTGCAGTTGAGAAAGAATCCACAGAAGTGTAGATTTGCCGGACACTGCAGCGTCTGGAGCAGTTTTCAGGCCATTGCACGTGTGTTATTGTCTGAGCCCAGGTGATACTGCGTCGCTTTGGTGAAATACACACTGTTGTTGTGTCGTAGTTGGTGTAACAAACAATTTGCAATGAATCTGCTCAAAATACAGACTGAACCTGACCTGCAGACAGCGTAATTCCTGTGTTAGTGTTTTTTCCAGACACCGGACAGAAATTAAAAGTTATTTTGCAACACATTAGTTTGTACGACTATAAACGAAAATCAAAAAATCCTTACATTTTTCCATTCTCATTGTGGTTTATTTTGATCATAAACAATGAACTATTGTGCCTCCGTTAACATTATTATTAGTTTGTACGACCATAAACGAAAAAAAAAAAAAAAAAGAAAAGAACTAGGAAGAAAGTGATTGTGTTTCTGGTCGAGGTTTTGGTTTGTGGAACGATCGGAGTGATGATTTTAAACAGTGCAGTGCAACACTGTAGAAACCTTTTAAAAAGAGTATAGGGTGTCATGTTTTGGAAACTACGGAGCTCTGGAGTTGATAAATTGTGCTTTTGTTTGTTTTAATTTATATATTGTCTCTTATATGTCCATTGAGTGGAGTTGTGAATGCAAACTTGTTGTTTGTGCGTTTGGTTCCTTTGTTTCAGCTCGGACACTTGCAGTCATGACCCATGTAGTCGTGGTTTATGTTTTGTTTAGTTTTTGTTTTGTAATGCTGCAAATGATCCAATAAATAAAAAAGTTATGGTGGTGCAACACGGTGACGCAACAGCACAACAACATCGCTAGAACTTCAACCAACTCTGGGAGGCTCTGAGTGTATTTATGGCATTTCTGGTGTAGATTGTCCAACCGGTTCAAATAAAAATCGATGCTTTGGTATGAATTGGGGGATTATAGGAGGTCACAGTGGTTGTCTCCCTTCCATCAGTCTATACTTGCATCCCGAACTTTGGACTTCCGCTCATCGCGCAATGCATACTGGGAAGGATCCTCCAAAAAAGTGAGCATCAATTCGTCATGTTTGATTTCCCAGTGGGATGTGTCTATTGACAAAACCGATCTTTTCAAGTCTTTTGAACCACGTTCTTTTGAATCGTTCACCCACCAAGATCGAGGCTGTCTACTTCAGTTTTTCACCAAATACATGATCCTGAATTTCGGACTTCCGGTCATCACACAAAAACGCATACTGGGAAGGATCCTCCGAAAAAGTGAGCATCAAACCGCTGATTTCCCAGTGGAAAGTCGAACTTTTCAAGTCTTTTGAACCATATCGCTTTTGTTTCTGGTTCTGATTTTGTCATATTTTTGTTTTGGGATTCAGACATCGTAATTGTGTGGTTGTTGGATGTCCTAACAGCGGAAAACGGCTCGAGAAACGGGCTTCGGAAGTTTGCGAACTCCATAAATGCAAAAGGGAATCAGATCTGTGTGACTGCAAACCTCGCAAGTCCGCTGTTAGGACGTCCAACAACCACACAATTACGATGCCAGAGTCCCATAACTAAAATATGACAATATCAGAACCAGAAACAAAAGTGATATGGCTCAAAAGACTTGAAAAGATCGACTTTCTACTGGGAAATCAGCGGTTTGATGCTTGTGTTTTTGTGTGATGACCGGAAGTTCGAAATTCAGGATGCATGTATTCGGTGAAAAACTGAAGTAGACAGCCTTGATCTTGGAGGGGCAAATGAAGCCTGTGGGCCACACCTTATTTCTCATATTGTATTTTCCCTTGACGAAAAGCAGATGGACATGGAAGGAAACATGACTGTGTCTGTTTAATCATCATTATTATGTCATGACAGCTCCCGACACATTCCACCAGACACACCCAGGAAAGCCCCACCCGGCACCCATCAGTCCCACCCAGCCCTCTCAGCACCCCTCAGCACTCTGCACCCTTCCTGCCCTCAGCGCCCGTCCCCTCTGCCCCCTCCCTGGGCCCCACCTGCCCGTGCCTGCCCCGCCCCTCCCACCACAAACACAACAGGCCAGCACACGAGACCTGCAACCACAACCACGACAGAGAGGCAACGTTTCAATCACTCCTCTCTAATTGGTATTTTGTGTTCTGTAACTTCAAATAAAAGTGGAAAAACAAAGGTAAAGCAGCCCAAACACCACTGTCGCCAGTAGGGGGCGCATGCATAGCAGTGAAAACTATAGAACTTGTGCTCGAAGTGTTCTGTATGTATGTCTATGTCCATTTTTCAGTAGAAAGTCAAATGAAACAAGACCAGAACTGAATTAATTTTGACAAAACTAACAACACTTACTAATCTCTTGTCTGTTTTATGCTTGTGTTGTTGCAGCGTTGAAGTGTGACTGCAGGGGGCACTCTCAGTACTGCGTGCGCGATGCCTGGGGTCTGCGCTGCGTGAACTGTCAGGATAATACCGAGGGCCGCCACTGCGAGCGCTGTCGGGCGGGGTACTACCAGCAGAAGAACGGGAGGAGCTGCACGGCCTGCCTGTGCCACCCAATAGGTCTGTACCATCACTCTGTTCAGGAAAAGTTACGATAGGCTCTATTCTCTCTTACGTCACAAAGCAGGAAGACGTTTGGAAACATGCGATGACGACTTCTGGCGGGCTCTGTAAGTCTGACAAAATCTAGGAAAAATGAGAAAATATCCCAGTTTTCTTCATCTAAATGTCGTTGTAGCATTCCGTCATGTTCAGCTAATCAACAATTACAACCACATCTCAGTTTTTATCATTTCCCGGCGCACAACTCCAAGTGCACTGGGTACATGCGATTAGAAATTCAAGATGATTCCAAACAGCACATACGTATGCAGTTTTCATTTTACCGCTGATCACGTTTACTTCAGTGGGTTTGATCACAGTCAGTCGGCAAGCCCAGTGTCGGGAACTACAACGGAAGTCGTCATCACATCTTTTCAAACGTCTTCCTGGTTTGTGACGTAATGTGAATAGAGCCTATTGCCTCTGTGCACAAAGGTACACATATAGTTCTAGTTCCTTCTGCTTTTACAAATGTACATGACCAGTCAAAAGTCTGGACACATGCTCTCATTCTGTGTGTTTTTTTTCTGTATATTTACCACTTTCTACATTTTAGAGACACACAGAAGAGATCAAATATATGAAGTAAGGTATATGGGTTTATGTAGTAAAGGAAAAAGTTAAAAAAAAAAACTTCACTAAATCTATTCAGATCCTGATCCTTGATTCTGGCTCTGTCCTGATTTACAGACTTTACAAACTGATTTTCTTGTGGGTTTGCGAGGGATTAGAAACACTGCTTTGGCTTTAAGCAATTAGGACATTTAGGTGGTTTCCACAGGACAAAGTTTTTTGGTCGAAACTGAGAAGTTTTTATACATTTTGGCCTTTGGTCCAGATGGAGCCGGCGTTTCGGGTGGGTGAAAACTGTGTGTTTTGAAAACAGGTTCTAGGGCCTGTTTACATGAGAACGCTTGCAGGTAAAAATGCCAAAATATTTTTTCAGAAGTGCCTTTCATTTAGACGGTGACAGCGTTTTTGGGGCTTAAAAACGCAAAAATCTGAAACCACTCTCCAGAGTGGAAAAGTTGAATAAACTCAGTTGTAGTGTTTCTGTCTACACTGCCCAAGATGCAAAACTCTGGTCAGACCTGCTCACGTTGCGTACGCGTTTACCTCACATACATACAGTACACAGAAACAAACATGTCGGATCATTTCCATGCGTTGGACTTTCAAGTTGCTCTGGCAGCTCTAATAAACTTACAGGAGGCTCACAACAAACGTACAGAATCTGCAGAGATACTGTTAGTGAACAAAGAAGGATCTGCAATCACCTTTGATATGGACGAGACCTGGAAAACCAGACGATGGTGGGACAACTTTGTGGCAGGAGGAGCTGATGAAAACGCATGGCATGAAAACGTCCGTATGTCCAAAGACGCCCTTGTTGCTTTAAGTACAAACACACACAATCGAATTCCACACACTTTTGCGTCACTGTATGCACGCAGATGTCCTCCTAAAAACGCTCATCTAAACACGGAATAAAAAGTGAAGATGCGACGCCACTTTTGCTTCTTCTGTCATCATATAAACGTAGCCCTAGAGTGGAGAAATCTAAGAACGCCGAAGTTTCGTTGTCGTGTGGACAAGCAAACGGCAGCTTTTGGAAAAACGACCCCGTCATCCCCACGTGACCAGAAGAAAACCCCACGCAGGAAGGACTTTATGCACATGCGCTCTTTGTAGTGTTGTGTGTCCAGTGGCTCTGACTATGCCCTGTTTACAGCACCACATACAGGCGTGGCATATGTATTACATCAGTGCTCCGTTGTTGTGTGGACATGAATATTTATTGAGCCGACACGTGTGTGGATGGCAATTTTTTTCAACCCGCAATAAAAAATAAAATAAAATAAAAATCCAGGAGCTTCGTTATGTGGACGTAGCCATAGTTAATTACTGTAGCTAGATGTTCAAACTGATTAGAAGAACTACATTTTTTGGTTTATTTATTTTTGAGGGGGATTCATTATATGTTTGTTTAATCAAATAAAATGATGCTATAAAATATGAGCAGGACCGTCGATCTTCGTACACTTCTGTCATAAATATGGACCTGTCTTTTCAAGTTTGTACGGATGTAGATTTGTTTTATCCTGAATCAAAGTCAGTTTTAACCCATGCTCTTTTGAAATCAAACGATACAGTTTCTAATTCGTGGATTGAAGACGTTGTGGTGTAATGCCTTTGTTTTCCTCAGGTGCCGTGAGCTCTCAGTGCGACAGCAGGGGGCGCTGTAGCTGTAAACAGGGCTACACTGGAGACCGCTGCGAGCTCTGTGAAGATGGAAGGAAGTTCGGAGCGGACGGGTGCACGCGCAGGTCTGGTGACGCCAAACTTCTCACTGATACACAATTTGTCCAAAATGACACTGAAAACTAATAGAGCAGTCATGTAAATTTAATAAAAATTACAATATAGAAATTAAATATATAAATATACAGGAAAAGTCAAGAAGTCAGGAAACGTCTTGAACTGTTTAGAGTCAAAGTTCTCATTTAATCTCAGAATAGTCACATAACTGAAGATTCATTTGATATTATTTTGTTATAATTACAAGTGTGTGATTAAACTGACCTGTCCTCCATTCTGTTGTCCTCCTCCTGCAGTCGCCAGCTCAGAGACGATCCCGGGAGTTGGAATCCGTCTTGCTTCTGCTTCGGCCACAGCTCTGAGTGTTCTGCACAGACTGGATACTACGTCTACAACATCAGCTCCAACTTTAATGACGGTACACGACAACTATCTCACATTATTCAACTCCAAAGACGTGAACTTTAAGCCTTAAGATTCATATGACAAGTTTTTGGAGCTGATCCCAAACAAATAATGAGAAGGAGAAACATTTGTGCACAAATTCTAAAACGCAACCTTTTTAAAGGAACTGTATGAGGAAACAGAAATAACCTGAATCCTGTCTGTCAACGATCATTGTCGTTTCTGTGAGATGAACTTGCGAATTAAAGGTGCAATAAAAAATGCAAAGTTTGTATTTGGCAAAGGAAGTCCAAAGAAGGATAGACTATGCAGTCTGCTATGGCAATCCAGGTTGGTTCAGCTGATTGGCCAGTGCGCGGTCTACAACTTCCGGGGTTTTTGCAAACCGTCTAGTGTATTCTGATTCCTGACCTAGTCGCTGGAGAGAAATGAATTTGAGCCAAGGCACTAGGTGGCGTCAGCCTGGCTAGAAGGCTACATACAGTTCTTTTAAAATGTGATATAAAAGCAAGAGTACTGAAACCAGCCAGACACTCCTTGACAACAAAACTGTTAACTCAAGTCAGTTTAATTCAATATGTGAGTGTGAGTGGTTGTTCCGACAAACCTGAGGACAGGTTTCTTTATATGTCTCTGTTTTTTCTCACAACCTCTTGTATATAGCTGAGATATTTTTTATTACTTGTTTTTAATTGTACAGACATACTTTTATATAATGATGACTTATTTGACACCATCTCTGGCTACTTACTTAAAATGTATTATTACTATTCATATTTTTTATTCTTTGTTATTATAATATCTTGTCATGTGTGAGCTACTGTGTCCAAGTCATTACAAGTCTAAGTTGCTATCTTTGTTCTCAAACCTGATCTTCTGTGTGCAGGTCTGGACGGCTGGAGAGCCGCCACACTGGATGGACAAACCCCCAGGACCGTGTACTTCCGCTGGTCACCGAGACACAAAGACGTGGAGGTGATCTCGTCCATCATCCAGCCTGTGTACCTGTACGCTCCAGGTCAGACACTCTGCTCCTCTGTTGTACTAACACAAGCACTGGAGCCTCAGATACTGTACCACAAAGTTAGAAAGACGTGTCCAACATGTCCACTCACAAACGTCTCATTTTGTCTTTCAGCCCGTTTCCTTGGCGACCAGCTGAACAGCTATGGACAGAACTTGTCCTTCTCTCTGCGTTTGGACAGAGGAGTGAGATACCCGTCAATCAATGACATCATTCTGGAGGGGGCGGGCCTTAGAGTGTCCACTTCATTAGGAGACATGAGACACAGCGTCCCCTGTGGACAGAAGACACACTACACCTTCAGGTAAGACGAACCAACTCCGTTAGTTTAAGATTAGCTTTGTCGGGACTTTAAAAAAAGTTGTACATTATAGCCCTGGTGATACATAATTAAAAATGTTAGTTCCTGTCCGGCATTAAATCTAAATTAGAGTATTGCCACGTATTTGACCAACAAGGGCAAATTAACAGATTGCCCAGATATATATTGTTAATGAATTTACTTCCTTGGGTGTCACCTTAGATTCAACTTTAACTTTTAAAAATCACACCAAAAAACTGTTAAAAATCACATTAAAAAAAACTATTAAAAATCATAAAAAAAAAAACTCTTTTACAAATCATACAAAAAACTCAGTTAAAAATCATACAATAAAACTCAGTTAAAAATCACATATAAAAAAAAACTATTAAAAATCATACAAAAAATAAATACATTTAAATTCACACAAAAAAATTCTGTTAAAAATCACACAAAAAACAACTCTGTTAAAAAAAAATAATAAATCACACAAAACTCTATTAAAAATTAGACCAAAAAAATTAAACCTGTTGAATCACTGCATAAAAGTGAGGTTAAGATTCAGAAACCCCAACAATATCTCCACTGTCCTATTCCTGCAAAATGATATATGCAAATATATGTTTGCTTTTGCTGCTCCTCCTCTGAAGAGTTTTGTCTCACTGAGCTTTGAAAAAACATCTTAAAGGTTGTATGGAGGATTTTTTTTTTTGTTTCAAACTGTCAGTGAAAGATTAAAATACCATTACAGAGACGCAGCAGTTTTGTAATTATGATGACCAAAAAAAAAGAACAAAAATCTATCAACTGTGGACGTAGTGAGGCCAGATAAACATCAGCCAATAGAAAACGAGGCTCCCTCATTTTCTATTGGCTGTTAGGTTGTCAATCAAACTCCCTAGTATAACTGACTCGTCGGAGCGCGGGGATTACGTGGTTTACGCAGCGGTTCTTAGAGGCTTTTTCAAACTGTCGCTTCCTCGCATTTCGCACAAAGTTTGTCGCGACGGCGGACGAGAATCCACGACCGGTTCGCCGCAAAAGAAAGTCCGTTTTTGAGGTCGCTGAAAGAAGAAGAGAAGGGGAAAAGGAGTGAAGGCAAACTGAGGTGATTCTTGGAGATTCCTTCAGCGATTGCGCGATTGAAGCAGACAAAGGGTCTAAAGACTGACGCTTCGGTCGCTAAATTATTTCTAGACAGGTCACTTCAACAGTAATTCTGAACTGGCTGTAAACAAACGTGATTTCTAGAGTAAGGAGGCAGGAGGAGGTGTTTCTACTGTGGGAGCTGTGGAGGAGGAAGGTGGTGTCACTCATGCACAACATTTGAAAAAGGACCGTTGCTGTATTTCTCTTTCCTTAAAAAAAAAATCCTCTATACAAACTTTAAGTAACATGCTCATTGTCCAGAGGAGAAAGCACTGTCCCCAAATGTAAGACCTCGCTCACCAGATCCTCTTTTTCCTCTGTCGCTGTGCGTCATTGGAATAATTTGCCAACAGAGATTCTCAATTGCGCAGGTTTTCAAATGTTTGCACGTCTGACAAAGAAGTGGTTGATCTCTAACAAGTTTGTGCACATTACGGACGAGTGTGATTGGAATTATTAGTAGAATGTACAATGTGTGTGGGCAGATGTGGGGCCTTGATAGAGGGTGGAAGAGGCTTAGAGTGCGTGTGGTTGCGTGTCTGGTGTGTGTTGTTTTTAGAAGAGTATTGCAACACTGTCACCCTAAGTAATATCTGTTTTCATTTATTTTTGGTCAGTTTATTCATATACACTGAATCTGTATTTTAGTATTTCCACCAGAAGTGAGCACCAGCATCTTTCCTATGACTCCTTCTGTCCGTGTTAATGTATTGTTGTGCACTGTCCCTCTACAAATAAAAAGCGTACCAAACCAAACCAAACCAATACTGCCGTCCATTTTCACATAGAATAGAACTTTGTGTAAATAAAAGCTCAAACGTTCAGAGACAGTATCAGATCGGTGCATTTTTACTAACAAACTGATGCTTTGTTGTGAAGAAAATTTGATACTTGATGACGTGATATGAACAATATTATGAAACTTTACACTTTTGTAAACACTGTTGGGCAAGTTACTTCAAAACTGTAATGTGTTATTTATGACTCGTTACTGTCATTTCAAAGTCATTAGTTACATTACAGTCTGAACCAGGAGGATTGAACCAGGACTGAACCAGAACTGAACCAGGATTAAACCAGGACTGAAGAGAGGACTGAACCAGGACTAAACCAGAACTGAACCAGAACTAAACCAGGACTGAACCAGCACTGAAGAGCAGACTAAACCAGGACTAAACCAGGATTTAAGAGAGGACTAAACAAGGAGGACTGAACCAGGACTAATTCTGGACTAAGACTTGGAATCTAGGACCACCCCTGAAAGAACCCCGAGCCCATGGAGCAGGGTGTCCGCAAAGCGCGATCGGGCATCAGCTGCAATTCGCCCCATGGATCGCGGAGTTCTGCGTCAGTCCTTTCGCCCGCGGTTTACACTGGTGCATCTCAGGACCCGTGCCGACACTCAGAACCGTAACAATGGCGTTTCACCGCTGCTGATATCGTGTCGATTTTAGCGAATTTGTATAAAGAGAAACGAAAAACCCACCACTTCAATCCAGGTTAAAAAAGCATTGTGATGCACGTTACTCACATTTGTACCGAGTAAAATATTACCGATCTTTTCCCTGTAATGCCGTAACATTCCTGCAGTACAGCAAAAAGCAACACGTTACAGTAATTCGTTACTTTTATAACTCATTACTCCCAACACTGTTTATAAATGTTTAGTATAGTAAATATGATTCCTCAAAATAGTAAAATAGCAAAACATCTCAATAGAACCAAGTAAAAATGCAGCATCTTGTACATGTGAATGGTTCATTCTGTTACAAAACTCAAATGTTGTTGTTGACCTGAACATATAGATTTGTTCTTCTCTCTCACCGTGTTCTTCTCATCTCTGCTTCAGACTCGACGAAAACCTGTGGAAGCCTCAGCTCAGCTCCTTCGCCTTCCAGACTCTGCTGCAGAACCTGACGGCCATCAAGATCAGGGCCACGTTTGGAAACAACGGTGAGGAACTCTTTCTGGTTTTGTTCTGTTCTGGTTTGTTGTGTTCTTAGCTCGTCTTGACTGGCTCTTTGCCCCTCAGGTCGGGGGTACCTGGATAACGTGACCATGATGTCTGCTCGCACCGGCCCTGGTACCGTGCCCGCGGCGTGGGTGCGGAGCTGCCGGTGCCCTCTGGGTCTGGAGGGGCCGCAGTGTGAGCGATGTGCGGCCGGGTACAGGCGCTCGGAGCCCGGCCGAGGGGCCTTCAGCGGCTGTGAGCCCTGCCAGTGTCCCAAAGGCAGCTGTGACGCCCAGACCGGAGAGTGTTTGTCCTCTGACGACACCAACCAGGGCTGCCCCAGCGGATACTCAGGTACTGATCTACTCAAAGTGCCAGAGCTTTGGAGGATTCTCTCATTTCTTCATTTGGTTGGATAATACCTGCTGTAAATATTAATGATTTTCATTTTTAAACCAATCAAGAAGCAATTTGTGAAGAAAAGTTGAAAAACATGTTGAAAATTAGTAATAGTTCTAGTTTAGAGAGGACTATATTGATGACGTCACAAAGGGAGAATTCTGTCACAATTGGCACAATTTACACAACAAACATATTTTTATGATACCTTAAACATTATTTCAAGATAATAAAGGTAGCATTTTATTTGTTAAACAATATCTCTTTGATATTAGAGGAGTTTTGGCCCAGTGTACTACATGGTTGCTCGGTAATAATTTCCCTAGTGTGATTAGATGATTTCCAATCTGGAAGTTTCTAATTTGAAACCTGAAAAATGGACAAACAGATTTTTTTTTTTTTTTATGTTTTGTAAAATACGGAAGCCCTGAGCCGAAAGTGTAAAAAAAAAAAATATCTTTTTTTTTGAGGTATTATCTTGCTATTTCAACTAGCATGTTAATATGTTCATAATTGAGCTGCTTTCTGGGTTTAGTCCAGGTTTAATCTGGGTATTATACAAAGATACTTTTGTTTTTTCCTCTAAATGATTCCCCTTCCCCTCTGTGCTCAGGTGCTGGTTGTACAGAATGTGCCGAGGGCTTTTACAGAGAGACGGTCAGAGGAGACGGCTTCACTCCTCCATGTCAGCGTGAGTGTTCTCTGAGACATGTGTGCTGTACAAAGCCTGTGTCTTACAATGACATAAATGGTTACCAAATATATTACTTCAAATTACACGCATGCATTTGTGTTAAGTCAGTGATATGTTTTTGTGTTTTTGTGTTGTGTGTGCAGCCTGTGCCTGTGACCAGCAGGGGGCGGTCTCCTCTCAGTGTGACTCCTCTGGGACCTGTGTGTGCAGAGCTGGCTTTGAGGGGCCTAAGTGTGCCAGCTCCAAGTGCCCGTCCTGCTTCAGTCCTGTCATTACACGGGTACGGATACGACTCACCTGCACTGCTCAGTCTGAGATCTGTTTTCTGAATTTTGTTTTGGACAAATCTCCAAACAGAGCAACAGTGGGACAGCAGGGGCTCTAGTGAATTGTTGTTGTGTTGTAGTATGAATGTGGCGTGTCTCTGGGTCATGTTTTTGTATACTTATCGAGAATTGTCGTGTGGGAGCATGAGTGACGGATTTTAGTCTTGTAGCAAAATATTAAACATGTATTTCTGAATATATTTTACAGTTGCAGCAGTTTGCGCTGAAAGTGCAGGAGCTCCAGGCCCTGTTCTCGGGGGCAGGCCAGGGCTCGGCTCACGCTGAGGCCATGGAGGCAGCGCTCCGGTCCGCCCGCAGGCAGCTGGAGGAACTGCAGGAAGACCACACGCTCGCCACAGGTACAGAGTCCACGTAGAGTCCACTAAAAGTCCACATCTGCTTTGAGTCCTAGACTAGTTTCCTTGGTTAAAGACACTGTATCTATGTTACAATCCCAACTAAATCCCAACTAAACCTGACTCTTGGACAGGCCACGCCTCATGGGAAATCTCAAAACCTCCAGAATTCACTCCCTGAGCTGGAGAATCTGCACTAGCACTGACTCATGATTGGCTGTAGGTGCTGGAGTTTAGGGAGTGACTGTTCAGCACTGTCTTGAAAACCAAAACAAAAAAACTGATTCTAACAAAAACAGCTTGACCATCTGGTGTTTTTTGTAATAAGATAAATGTAAATTTGAATATGCCTCATATCTGTGGAAACAGAAATCACAAAAAGAGCTCATCTAAACCTCCTTCTCACAGATGCAGAGAGGCGCCTGGACAGAAGACTCACCTCCCTGGTCACGGAGCAGCAGACTCAGGGACAGGACCTGTCCCGAGTGTCCCTCAGCGTACAGGACGTCCAGAGCAGACAGGAGACATACGGGGACAAAGTGAACACTGTAAAGGGCATGATAGTGGACATGAAGACACTCCTGGAGCAGGCGCAGAACAAACTCAGAGCTGTGGTGAGACATGAACACTGGTGATGATGTGACTGTAGGTCCAGATCTCTTCAGTAAACACTTATGGACATGCTGGGAATTCACAGTAAAGTGTTTATTTCTATATTTCACTATTTAGAATTTATTACAGTTATTTAAACTCATTTTTAATTCATATATTTAATGTTTATGGCACTGACTGCAATTATCTATCGACAAACTTGGTTCAATCCCAGATCAGACATGAAACACAGATATGAAAGTGGTGTGTATGTGTGTTGTTGGTGGTTAGAGGGGCCGATAGCACAGATTGGCAGCCTCACCTCTGCCAGTCTGACTCAGGGCAGCTGTGGTGACGTAACTCACCACCAGAAGTGCATAAATACTGAGTACATGAGAGTCACTGTTGTGTCCTGTGTTTTCAGGAGCTCCCTCAGTCCGACGCCCCCGCTGACTCTCCCTCAGAGACAAACCCGTTCTCCCCTCTGCTCCAGAAGGCTCTGGACCTGGTCCAGATGTGAGTACACCTCTGAATACCACACCGGGGCTCTTCAAACTGATTAGTTCTGGATTAGCCCTGGTTTAATCCTGGTTTAGTCCTGCTTTATTCCTGTTTTAGTCCTGGTTTAGCCCCCTGTTGGCACAAACTCCTCCTGACAGCGTCTCTCTCCCACAGACACCAGTCGGACGCCTCCGCCATAGCAGTGGATTCTTCTGGAGCTCTGAAGGACTCACAGCAGAGTGCGGCTCTGCTCCAGACCATCCTGGGCCGAGAGGAGAAGGTCCAGGAGATGACCCAGGACCTCCAGAACACGTGAGCCACTTTTGCTTTTAAAGTTCGACAACTCCTCCTACAACCACATATCAAACAGAGCTGCTGAACTGGGCAGCACCTGTTTTTTTATTTATGTTTTATTTTATTTTGGCCAGCTGTATATGTATTGACTTTTTTGTCAGCTAAATGAGCATTGATCAGAAGTTGGAGCATGCATTTATAGACTCACTGTCGTATCGTAGTAGGAAAAAAACACTTTGACACAGTTGACAGTCTGATATGTGACCAGGTTTGACCAGATCTCTGCTGAGGTGAAGGTGCTGGAGACTCGGGCTCCTATGGTCGGCTCTGACGCCACAGACCAGAGCAAGAGGGCCGCCACTCTGCTGCAGAACATCCTGAAGACAGAGAAGCAGCTGCCCGCAACACTCAAGGTAACACATCCGGAGAGTCACCGGAGACGTTTGACCAGTCCTGAGAACTGAGAACTCTGCACTTTTCCCTTTAAAAATGTTATTGTGTTGCCTGGAATGTTCCACAGTATGCCATTAAACCTTTCTATCTTCATGGAGACCAAATCAGACCAAGTTCCAGGACAGATCTGTGGAGAGGCGACGCCGCTAACAATCAAAATGCCTGTTTTTATAGTTTTTGTTTTAGCTATAAAACCACTTGTAATTGAATAAATGTAACGTAGAGCTGTTTAATGTCACGTTGTGGAACATTCCAGGCAGAACAAGGACATCTCCATAGAAACAAGCAGGTGACGGACCAACAACCAAAAAGTTACATGGTGCACCTTTAACATAGGATTATAATTGTTTACTATTCACATAATAACTTGATTTTAGTCTACTACATGTAAAAAGTCTTAGATCTTTGGTAGTTTCAATACCTGCTCAAATGAGGATCTAGTTTTAGAGTTTGTTTTTTGTTTTTTTTGATCAGTTCATAAATGTCTCCTTCTCTCTCCTTCGTGCTCAGGTGGACGACATGTTGTCCCAGATGTCCGGCCTCAAAGCAGAAGCCGATGGAACCCTGAAGGATCTAGGCACGCTTAAAGCCACAATGGACCCGGAGCAGACCAAAGCCCTGGAGCTGCTGGCCAAAGGGAAGACAGCCCAAAAGGTGACCATAAACACAAACACAATAACATCGTGCGCTGTCACAATACATCGAATCACAAGTTCCTTTGCGTAAATTCATGGTTTTATAATAGCAGCAGCTTATGAACATTGGGAACTACATCTCCCATGATTCATTTCAGCGCAGACAACATGAAGAAATATGTTTTTTACTTGAATTCTTCGGATTATGATGGAAATAATTCACACCAAAATCTTGTCAAGGTATTTTAAAAGGAAAAAGTCACAACAATTATATTAGCCTCTCCAAAATACTGCAGTAAATATCGTACCGAGAGATTTGGTTCATTACATCCCTACTGGAGACACAGGTTTAGATTTTATGCAGTTCTTTCTACACTGGGAGTTATATTTAAGTCTGTGTAGAGCTGGTGTTCCTATAGATCTGTAATTGTTGTGTGTCTGTTGTGTCGGTGCAGACGTTTGACGGTCTGGTGAGCCGAGTGGACCAGGCCAAGTCTGTGACAGAGGACGCTCTGAGGAGGATGGGGGCCAACACTGACCAGCTGGAGGACTCTCTGAGCACGCTGAAAGGTAAAGGAGACGACTTTACAACGCACTAAAATAGCCTTAAAGGGGCCGATTATGCAAACCAACCATGACTATAAAAGTGTTCTTTAATCTTTCATCATTATTCTAATGAAAGTTTTATCGTGATTCCTGCATATTTAAGTTATCCTGTACTGGCCTGCATTTGAGGCCTGGGTGCTCAGAAAATGTCTGCTTTCACACATGTTTTTAAGTCAGACTCCAGACCAGGTCATACAAATTGGTACAATGGTAAATGGTAAATGGTCAAATTTTTCTATAGCACTTTTCCACCTTCAAGGCACTCAGAGCACTTTACAACAAGGGACCACTCACCCGTTCACACACATTCACACACCAGTGTACACAGACACTGTGGGCAAGGTGGGTTAAGTGTCTTGTCCAAGGACACAATGACAGCATTCATCTGTGGGAGCTGGAATCACATCAGCCAACCTGTGGGTCAGTGGATCTGACCACTCAACCTGTGATGTTTATGTTGAGAACTGGATTCAAACCGCCAACCTTCAGATCAGTGGGCGAATGCTCTACCAACTGAGCTACTGCCAAAAAGGCCATTTTTAATAATAAAAGTGAAATGCTGCAGTGAAATCAGTTCTACAGTTTCGAATAAGTTGTTTTAGATACATTTTTGCAGTTTATAATCAACATCCTTCCATCCATCCAATTTCTTCTGCTTATCTGGGGTGGTTTCGCGGGGACAGAAGTCTAAGTAGGGACTCCCAGACTTCCTTCATCGCAGACACTTCGTCCAGCTCCTCCAGGCCACCTGAGAGACATAGTCCCTTCAGCGTGTCCTGGGTCTTCCTCGGGGCCTCTTTCCAGGGGGACATGCCCAGAACACCTCCTCAGGAAGGCGCTCAGGAGGCATCCGGAACAGATGCCCGAGCCACCTCAACCGGCTCCTCTCGACATGGAGGAGCAGCGGCTCTACTCCGAGCTCCTCCCGTATGACTGAGCTCGTCACCCTATCTCTAAGGGAGCGCCCAGCCACCCTGCGGAGGAAACTCATTTTGACTGCTTGTATTCGTGATCTTGTCCTTTTGGTCATTACCCAGAGCTCATGACCATAGGTGAGGGGAGGAACAAAGACTGACCGGTAAATCAAGAGCTTCGCCTTTCAGCTCAGCTCCCTCTTCACCGCAACGGTCCGATACAACGACCCCTGACTGCGCCTAGAAATTCTGTCCATAAATACAATGAACAGAACCGGTGACAAAGGGCAGCCCTGGTGGAGTCCAACATTCCCCAGGAACAGGTCTGACTTACTGCCATCAATGCGAACACAGCTCCTGCTCCGGTCATACAGGGACTGGACAGCCCTTAGCGAAGCACCCCCCACAGGACACCACGAGGGGCACGGTCGAAAGCCTTCTCCAGATCCACAAAGCACATGTGGACTGGTTGGGCAAACTCCCATGAACCCTCAAGCACCTGATGGAGAGTGTAGAGCTGGTCCAGTGTTCCACGGCCAGGACGAAAACCACACTGCTCCTCCTGGATCCGAGGTTCGACTATCGGCCGGATTCTCCTCTCCAGTACCCTGGCATAGATAATCAACAAAATGTCAAACAAGTGCAGTCAGACGTCGGTGGGGTCAGTTCATCACCACAGAAGCCCAGCCCATATTACATGATCATTATATCCACAATGTAATGTGTGTATCTGTACAGGCCCATGACCATTTGTGTGATATTGGTCACACATGACAATGTCTGTGTTTACTAGTGTGTAACCAAACTGTCATTTTTCATGAGTTGTGTGTATGTGTTAGTTGTGTGACTGTAGATCAGTGTGTTGTGAATCACCAGAAAAAGAAGAAATGGAAATTATTTTTGTTCCAGTTAGAATTTTAACGGCTACACTGAAAGAGAAAGGAACTGTTATAATTAGTGATTATCTGGAAAACTATTAATATTTTAAACAAATAATATTTTTTTTTTGAGGCACTCCCGTTGCTCTAACTTCATCCTTCACAGAGTTATGACCAAAAACACATATTTGACCTTGGTTACCTTGACCTTCAAGTGACCTTGACCGGTTTCAACCTGTAAAATCCAGTGTGCCCCGGTTATGTGTGTGCCAACTTGTGTGATGATTGGGTGAATATTTTAGCCCGCAGGTCCCCTTCAGGGACCAGGTAACAAAAAAAGTTTTCTTCTTTAAATACATGTGTTGTTTTGTTGAGATTGCACAGGGTCCCTAGAGCTTTGTGTCTTCATGTTTTAAAAATATAATACTGTGCAAATATTAACTCTGTCATGTTTAGATGTGTTCATATCGTATGTCCTCTTTAACGGCGTCTCTCCCCCAGGGTTCGAGCAGCAGATGGAGCGAGCCAAAGCGCTGTCGGACGCTGCCATTGGTCGACTGCCCGCCATCAACGCCACCGTCCAGTCAGCAAAGAGAGACAACGACGCCACCCTGAACCTGATAGACAGAGTCCACGGGCAGCTGAACGATGCCGGGCTGGGGCGTGACCAGCTGAAAAGCGCAGTGGACAAGATACAGGTAATACAGTTAAACAGGGGTATTTTATGTCTATGGGGCATTAACTGCTAACACATAACATATTTAAATCACCACGTAACTTTTATTGTTTTGAAATGGTCGTGCAGGAGCTTGAGTGGGCTGAGGTTTGAATAGGATGGTTAAGGTGAAGGTACAGGCACACTTTATTGTAGAGTCCTGCACTGCGGGACCCGACGCAAAACAGAGCGGTGCAGGACACATTTTGAAAGTTTCAAGTTGTTGACAAAAAATTTAAAAACTCATGTCGGTAACGGAGGGAATGAAATATGCAGCACTTTTTGGGTAATAAATCCAAACAGTGATAACTCTTGGTTCTCACTTACATATCCTTAACAAACTGGTTTGAATATTTGCTTCATATAGTTTTCTACCATATGGTACAAGATTAGGTTGAAAAACCTCTTACTTTTTGAGTAATGAGATTTTTTATTAAGAAAGGTCATGGTAACGGAGGGAAAAGTAACAGAGGGAAAATTGTGCAAGCAAGTAGAAGGTGCATGATTTTACATAATTTGTCGCTTTTTTCTTCCGAATACTTTAATATTACTTCAAAATGAAAGGAAACTATTTCTATAAAATATGTCAGTCCTTCCAAGCAAATTTTTATCATTTTAAATACTTTTTTTTTTTTGAAAAATCATGTACCTTCATCAACAGTTCAAAGATGGAATAACACAAGATATGATGAAATACATCCATTTATTTACATGATTTTTGGGTCTTTGAAATTTGGGAAATAATTTTTGTTCCATGTTTCATACATGGTCTGTTTAAAACGTATGTAACTTTAGAACCAAAAATGGTACAGAAAAAAGGTCAACAGTTTCATAAACTAGAGAACATATGTATCTGTTCAATACAATTTTTATATCAGATGCATTAACTTGAATTGTTGGCCTTGCTGTTTACTTCTGCTTGAACGAGCCCACAGCCTAAATTTGCCTAAATTTGTCCTAATTTCGTCCACATTTTAGTCCTTGTTTAGCCATGTTTGATAGAGCTTAAGAAAGCTGTCCCCATTTGTCCTGGTTTAATCCAAGTTTAGTCCTGGATTTAGACCTGGTTTTGCCTGGTTTAGTCCTGGTTTAGTCTTGTTTCAGTTCTGGTTTAGTTCTGGTTTAATCCTGGTTTAAATACACTGGTTTAATCCTGGTTTAGTCAAACTTTTTAGTCTTGTGGCAGTTCCTGGGTTTTAACATGTTTTTCCTGGTTTAGGGCCAGGTTTAGTCTTGTTTCAGTTCTGGTTTAGTTCTGGTTTTAATCCTGTTTAAATCACATGGTTTTTGTCCTGGTTTAGTCCCATGTTATTAAATATCTGGTTTAGAATCTTGTTTCAGTTCTGGCTTTCAGTCCTACAGTATTTACTATTTACCTGGATCAGTTACTGGTTTAGTCACTGTTATTATTGTTTTTTTCAATTCTGGTTTAGTCCTGTTTTTAAGGGCCGTAGTTTAGCCCTGATGTTAGTCCTGGTTTAATCCCGGTTTAGAGCTGTTTGTAGTCATGGTTTAGTCCTGGTTCAGTTCTGATTTAATCCTGGTTTAAACATGGTTAAATCTCAGTGATTTCATCTCCTGGTTTGAGTGCCTGGTCATCGAAGGCCATATTCACGTCAGAGCAAAAGGTTCGTGGGTAATCTTCGCTGGCTGAATTCATTTGTTGTTATTCGTGCTATAAACATGCTTCCACATTCATACTGTGGAAATGTGCAGCTTTAAATGTCTTTGTATGAGACCATAATTACACTCTTTATGTAGAAGAGATTCATTTGAAGGTATTGAGCCGCTGCGTTTATTCAATTACACCTGCCTAACAGAAACTGTAAACAAGTACGTGTGTCAGTTTCAGAGTAGTTTCAGTGTAGTAGCAAATATAAGGAAGTGTCCACCAGCGTCTGACCAGAACTGAAAAAGCAGCTTTAAACTTTTGTCCAGTTGTCAAATTGAATTTCGCCTTTTGCCACATAATTACAACTAATTAATGACTTGTGTTTTGTTCTGGTGTTGCTCAGGGGATCTGGAGCACCGTCCCTTCCATCAATGGACTGGAAGCTTCTCCCCTCCGCACAGATGCCGAGAAGCTCCTGGCGGGTTCCTCCTCCACGGCAGCGGAGGTGCAGGACGAGCTGGACCAGGCGAGGATTCTGAACCAGGAGGCCGCTCAGGTAAAGATCTCCAGAACATCCACACAGCGTCACGTTTGGGGGACAGGGGGGACAGAGGGTCTAACACAGCGTGGTTCTGACAGGGAGCGAAGGATGCCCAGGCGGCGCTGGAGAACACAGAGAGGAGCAGGGACGCAGTGAAGAAGACGCTACGAGATGTCCTCAGCATGATCAACAATCTGAGTAAGTGCTACTAGTTTGAACTTTTAGCCACTTAGTCATTTCTGCTGCTGTGATGTTGCACCGTGACACAAAAACATCTGTCTGGGATGGTGACATGTAGTTGTTTCTTTATAATCTTCTGATCTCTGTTACTATTTGCTCTGTTGTTGCTCCTGAAAATGCAGAGACTCAAGTATCTGGGATAGTGTCAAGAAAGTTGGTTTCTCATGATTCTTAGCAGCTCTGTGCCTGATTACCTGAGAAAATGCTGTGCTCATTTTGTTCTTATTTAGTATGTTTTACCATACTGTATAATGCATGATGTAAAGAGTCCGCTGTGATGCTGCAGGACACACAAGAGAGACACTTTTGTCCTGAGAGCTCATCTCAAACTGCCCTGACACTGGATTTGATGACTCTACCTGTTGATCTGCACTCAGACCTTTGTTGAGCTTTTCTTTTATTGTATTTCACTGCTCAATGTGCTTGAACTGTTCCTCGAGGACAAATAAAGTCATATTGGTTGATGATTCTAAGCCAGGGGTGGGCAAACTTTTCGGCTCGCGGGCCACATAGGGTCCTAAAGTTTGACTGAAGGGCCGGACAGAAGACAGGACATGACGTTTTAAGAGCTCAGATTCATTACATTCATACTGACGTTTATGTAGGACTCAGGCGTCACACTACGTGCTTCAAAACTACATAAAATGTATAGACCTGTTCCACTGCACACCACTCGTGAACAAACAGTTCAGCTTAATGTTTTCATACTAAAAATGTTTTGACTAAAAATAGCTCAAATTCAAAGCTCAGGCCATTTAACCACACACATACAACCACAAGTGCAGCAAAACCAACTCTATGAAGTTGTAATTACTAAACATTACAACTCTGAGTTTAAAGTTTTCAGTGTTTGATTTTTACCAATTTAAAATGGAAGTTTTGCAGCCTTATATCTTGAACACCAACTACTTCACTCATGGTCTGAATAACTCCTGTAAGAACACTTTCCCATAAAGCATTGCGGCCAACATAATACGCCGCACCTCAATGTATATATAGTGCGCCATCTACTGGGAAACGCCAGAAATGCATGACAAATAAAACATCAACAAGGTTTATTATTGTAATTTATTCCAGTTTGGCGGGCCGGATTGAAAGGTTTAAAGGCCGTAGTTTGCCCACCCCTGTTCTAAGCCCCTGCCTTCTCCTCCTCAGATGCTTCAGAGCCCGTGGACCTGTCCCGGCTGGAGCGTGTGGAGGCGTCCCTGGGAGCCGCTCAGAGGGACATCAACCTGGGTCTGGTCCCTCGTCTGGAGCAGCTGCAGCAGAAGGAGCAGGCGCACAGACGCTACCTGAGGAAACTAGAGCAGGACATGTCCACCATCCTGGGAGACATCCAGAACATCGAGGACATCCTGCGGTCTGTGCCCCCGGGCTGCTACAACAACCCCCCTCTGGAGGAGGCCTAAACCCCTCTGGAGGATCCTGAGTCCCTCTGGAGGAGACCTGAGTCCCTCTGGAGGAGACCTGAGTCCCTCTGGAGGAGCCTGAGTCCCTCTGGAGGAGACCTGAGTCCCTCTGGAGGAGTCCTCTGGAGGAGCCTCCCTCTGGAGGAGCCTCCCTCTGGAGGAGAGTCCCTCTGGAGGAGACCTGAGTCCCTCTGGAGGATCCTGAGTCCCTCTGGAGGAACCTGAGTCCCTCTGGAGGAACCTGAGCCCCTCTATAGAGACCTGTGCACACACAGGACAAGCAAACAGACACCAGTTTTGAGATGGGAGATCATTTCCCTTAGCCAATGTATTTAATGTAATATTAAAATTCGTATAATATTAAAATTTAAATAATACATTCATGTAAACAAGTTAAATTAATTCAGTCCCTGCACGATTGCTCTGAACTGCTGTGGAGCAGTTTAAATGAGACTAAAAACATTAGCTGCTCTGGGAATAGATAAATTGCATCTTTATAAATCAGTCAGTATCCTCCTCGGCCCGCCCGGATACAGTCGAACAAACTGGATGGATACTGTAATAAAATATCATTAAACCTCACCTGTATTAAAGTACAGTTATATTATTATTGTTTTTATTTTTATTTTTATTGTTACAGTTATATCAAAAACTAAATATTTAATGCATTTATTATTTAATGTACATTGTTGTTCTATTTACATGAGATATTGTTATTGTTGTGTTTTATAAATGTTTTCTTTGCTTTTATTTGACTGAATTTTCCCATAAGACCACTGCCCCCTAGTGGCTGTGCACTGTCAGTAAACGAGAAGGTGTGATTCCTCATTTGTCCAGCAGTGATTTAATATAGACCACCGCTTAAACCGTCTCTACTCTGTCAGAAACTTAACTATTATTCAGTGCAATATTTTTGGAAGATGTTATTTTTTTATAGAAATTCAAAAATAAAATAAACATTTTTAAAAGTTTTGTATTCTTTGTGGTAAAATACTAAATAAAGTATGTATGGATGCAGTATGTGTCATGTTAAAAAACCCAGCCCCTCTGCTCCGTCTTCACCTCCACTCCTGAGCCCATTCACCTCTCTTCACTTTTTTTTTTTTTTTTTTTAATTAGTTTATTATGTTATTCTTAGTCTGGCCAGGAG